CTGCAGTGATGTCCACAACACCCTCCCTGCCCTGAGGGATGGAGACAGAGGCCAGTGCACACTCCCTGCAGCCCTCTCCACCTCTTCCTTGTTCGTAATGCTCCTTGTTAGGAATGGAAAGTGTGTGGACAGAACTAGATCAAGGCTCCCAAGCCCGGGGAGTAGCTGGGAGTCATCAGCACCACGGACAGTGTCCCAGCCAAGCTCCTCCCAGGAGTTGAGCAGGGAGGAGGCAATGGGGGACTGCTGGAGAGGCTTCCCATTTCTGTTCTACAGAGGATGCAATGAGGCAGAATGCTATTACAGGGACAACCCGATTCTGCTCTAATCTGTGAACCCTAAACCCTTTGCACATGTCCGGATGTTACTTGTTGGCACATCCATTACAGCTCCCCGCTTAGCTGATTGCTGCCCCCAGAGGGTGGCCTCAGGGAGGTTGGGAGTCCGCTCCAGCCTCTTGGGGAACCTCCTGGCCCTTGAGAGTCAGGCCCCTCTCTTGTCTACAATAAGCAAAGAATGTTTCATGAGTAACTTCGGACCCTTGGTGCCTGATCTTGGAAACACACCCATCACCCAGCCTGGAGCACCCCTGAGCACAGCATCTTGTTTCCCAAGCCCCAGCTGAGTCCCCCAGGCAGCAGGGCAGAGCAGAACCCTGGGCTATTCTCCCAGCTGCTCCCTGCTGAGCCCTGTGCCTGGTGTCAGAGTCCTTTGCCATCTACCTGCCCTTCCCAGCAGAGCAGACATTCCACCCAGGGGATAAATGGGGCCTTGAGATCTCCCAGGGAAGGAGCCAACATCTGAGTGTTCCTGCATCTGCCTGGGACTCCTCAGAGGAAGAGAAAAGACTAGGGCCATCAGAGTCACCCCCATCTTCCTATTTCCCATCCATATCCCACCCACAGAACCAACTCTGATGCTACAGACCCAGCCCTGCCCTTCCTTGGGGCTCAGGTCCATTCTGTCCACTCATAATGGCCAACATAAGGGTCACCTGGGTGCTTTATCTTTACTATTTCCTTTTTTCTGCTTTTAGCTGGGTTCACCTTGCTCTTATTTTCCTAGTTCTTGTGGTAGGAACTCTGATTATTGATTTGAGATATTTCCTTTCTTAAAAGCATTTCATGCTATGAATTCCACTCTCACCACAGCATAAGTTGCATCCCACAAATGGTGGAGATGTTTTTAGTGTATTTAATATAATTCTGTGTATTTATTTTATTTTATTTTTTTAAAGATTTTTTATTTATTTATTTGACAGAGAGAGACACAGCGAGAGAGGGAACACAAGCAGGGGGAGTGGGAGAGGGAGAAGCAGGCTCCCCGCAGAGCAGGGAGCCCGATGCGGGACTTGATTCCAGGACCCTGGGATCATGACGCTTAACGACTGAGCCACCCCGGCGCCCTATTTTTTTTATTTTAAAGATTTTATTTATTTGACAGAGAGAGAGACAGGAAGAGAGGGAACACAAGCAGGGGGAGTGGGAGAGGGAGAAGCAGGCCTCCCGCCAAGCAGGGAGCCCGATGCGGGGCTCGATCCCAGGACCCTGGGACCATGACCTGAGCTGAAGGCAGATGCTTAACGACTGAGTCACCCAGGTGCCCCTAATTCTGTGTATTTTTAAATATCCTTTGAGTCTTCCTTTTTGACCCATAGATTAACAAATATGTAGCTTGCTTTCCAATTGTTTCAAAGATTTTTCTGCTGCCTTTCTATTGCTAATTTCTAGTTTACTATTTTCAGAGAACATACTCTGATTTCAATTATTTTGAGTTTGGTTAGGGGCTCCTGGCTGGGTCAGTCGGTGGAGCATGTGACTCTCGATCTTAGGGTTGTGAGTTCGAGCCCCACGTTGAGGGTAGAGTTTCCTTCAAAACAAAGTAAATTTGGTTAGCTTTTAGATACGACAGCAAGCATAAGCCACAGAGAAGGATGAATTGAACATCTTTTCCTTGGCCATTCTTTAATAGTAGGTCAGCTGGCAACAAAGTCTCATATTTTTCCTTCATCAGAAAATTTCCTTAGTTCCCCTTTCCTCCTGAGGATCATTTGCCAGATACAGGATTTGTAGTCGACTTGAAAAACCTGCCACTTCCTTCTGGCCTCCATGCTGTCAGATACAAAACCTACTGTCACTTAAATCAGTGTTCCTTAATATGCAATGGGTTGTTTCTCTGGCTGTTCTTAAAGACTTTTTTTTCCCTCTTGTCTTTAGTTTCCAGAAGTTTGCGATGTGTCTTAGTGTGACTGCTTATTGTGCTCGGGGTTCACTCAGCTTCTTGGACCATTATTTCTTCAGGTACTTTTTTCAGTCCATACTTTTTTCCTATTTCTGGTATCCAGTGGCGTCAATGTTAGATTCTTCATTTTTTAAAAGATTTATTTATTTGAGAGAGAGAGAGAACTCACGAGCAGTGGGAGGGACAGAGGGAGAGAGAGGGAGAGAATCCTCAAGCAGACTCCCCACTGGGCACCAAGAGACCACAAGTCAAGGAGTATTGGCAGACTCCAGAAACTGGAGAAGGCAAGAAAATTGATCCAGCCCCAGAACCTCCAGAAAGGAATGTGGTCCCACCAATATCTTTATTTTAGCCCAGTAAAACTCATGTTGGACTTCTGACCTCCAGAAACGTAAGGTAATAAATGTCTTGCTTTTAAGCCACCATCTTTGTGGTAATTTGTTACAGCAGTAATAGGAATCTAATATAGACTGCATATTAGATTATATTGTTGTATTAATATCAAATTGGGGGAGCTTGATCATCGTACTGTGGATATATAGGAGAAAATCCTGGTTCTGATGAAATACGGGCTGAAGTAGTTAGGGTGAAGTAGTATGATACCTATAACTTTCAATTGATTAATCAAAAAATCATATATAGGGCACCTGGGTGGCTCAGTTTGTTAAGCATCTGCCTTCAGCCCAGGTCATGATCCCAGGGTCCTGGGATCAAGTCCCACATCAGGCTCCTTGCTCAGCAGGCAGTCAGCTTCTCCCTCTGCCTCTGCCCCTTCCCCCCAGATCATGAGCTCTCTCTCTCAAATAAATAAAATCTTTTTTAAAAAATCATATATATATGTATATATATGTATGTACATATAATGAAAAAGATTTGTGTGTATGCACATGCATATATTTATCTCTATACAGATAGAATACAAATGTGGCATTGGTAAATAAGCATGACAGGTATATGGGAGTTCCCTCTCATAGTCTTGCAAGTTTTCTCTAAGTTTGATTTTTTTTTAACTGGAGGGGTGGGGCCTTATGTTTTAGAAGTACAAGCACAAGTGTTTGCAAAGAATATTATATGATTTCTAATAATTAATCCAGTAATCCAGTGGGTAGAAGAGTAGAAGGGAGATAGATACAACAAGGTTCGCCATGAGTTGATACTTTGAGCTGGAGATGGGTACATGGGGGTTCACGATACCATTCTCTCTAGTATAACGAACTAGAGTCCACTTGTATATGTATACAAACTCTCTTTGTATATCTTTGAAATTTTCCATATGAAAAGATTTTAAGGAAAGAGAAAAAAGTTTCCAATTCAGAAGTTTTATGAGTTCCACAGAACTTTCAACTCAGATCATCTCAAAATCATAGAAATTCATCCATAGAACAGAGAGGGAATATCCCCCTAACTTATTCCGAGGCTAGTATAACCTTTAAATTGAAATAGGAACAACAACAAAAGTACAAAAAGCGGAAAATACCAGGCCGATCATACTCATCAACAGAGAAGCAAAAATGCTAAACAAGATATTCTCAAACTAAATCCAGCAGTATATAGAATAAGACAATACACCATGACCAAGTTAGGTTTGTCCCAGGAAAGCAAAGGTCATTGAACATTAGCAATTTATACCTGGGTGGCTCAGTTGGTTAAGTGGTGGGCTCTTGATTTCAGTTGGGGTCATGAGCTCAGGCTCCTGGAATTGAGCCCTGCATTGGGCTCCCCTCTCGGCAGGGAGTCTGCTTGTCTCTCTCCCTTTGCCCCACCCCCATCCTGCTCTCGCTCTAACAAATAAAATCTTTAAAAAAATTTTTTTAAATATGGGATGCCTGGGTGGCTCAGACGGTTGAGCTCGGGTCATGACCCCAGGGTCTGGGATCGGGTCCTCCACTGGGCTCCTTGCTCAGCCAGTGGGGAGCTTGCTTCTTCCTCTGCCTGTGCTTTCCCTGCTTGTGTGCTCTCTCTCTCTCTCTGACAAATAAATAGAATCTTTAAAAAAAAATAAAAAATTAAAAACTACCCTGATGATACCCAGCTCTAATTCATAAGGCCTTTCATTTTATTTTTTGTTTTAAAGATTTTATTTATTTATTTGACAGAGAGAGAGTGAGCACAAGTAGGGGGAGCAGCAGAGGGAGAGGGAGAAGCAGGCTCTCAGCTAAGCAGGGAGCCTGATGCGGAGCTCGATCCCAGGACCCTGGGATCATGACTTGAGCCGAAGGCAGACGAGTAACGACTGAGCCACCCAGGTGCCCCAGGCCTTTCATTTTAATGGGGAGGAAACTGAGGCCCAGAAAAGGGAAGAGATTTGGCCAGGATCTCTTGAGTCAGTGGCTGATTGGGCTAGAGCTCAGGTCGTCACAAAAAGGGGGAGGAGAAAAGAAATATTTGAGGGGGGGTGCCTGGCTGACTCAGTTGGAAGAGCATGCGACTCTTGTTCTCAGGGTCATGAGTTTGTGCCCCACATTGGGCGTAAAGATTACTAAAAATAAATAAATAAACTTTAAAATAATTTTTTGGGTCCTCCCAGTTGCTGGGCATGACTGTCACTTTGCCAGTGACCCTACTCCCCACCACCCCCCGCTCACTTCACCATGCACATACCCACCGCCTGCCGCTCCCCTCCATTTTCCTGGGTATGTTTGGCTCCCCTCACACCTTCCACGCCTCTACAGTTCTCATGGACCACAGGACAAAGCAGAAAGGCAACTCTGTGACTTTATTGGGTTACAGGAAGGGGTTTGTCCAGTCCAGCTAGACTGTCAGTCCCTGAAGGCCAGCAGAAGACCTGAGAGGATGCGCCAAGCAGGACTCCGACTGGAGAGCTCTGCGCCAGCACTCTGGGCCTTCTCTAAGATGTTGAGGACCTCAGTCACTCTGATGTTCCCAATATGGTGATAATCTGCTAAAAGTTTTTGATATCCACGAGCACAGCCCAAGAGGAGGAAGGTGGTATTGAGAAGGCCTATAAGGCAGACAGAGAGGAGTCAGGGACACTTCCAAGATGCAAGCGCCCTACCCCTGCTTCCAGACACCCTCACAACCCAGAACACCTGCTCTCCCACCAAAAACTTGAGTACCAGCCCCCTTAGTCCTTCCTCCTTGGGATTCATGTGCCTGGCCCCGGGGCAGCCCTAATCCCCTCTCTGATCGACCAGCCTCTCACAGAGATGGAAAGGCACTAAAGCAAGTTTCTCTTCTCTCACCTGCCTGAAATTTTAAGGTGGAACTGTAACACTGAGAGGCCTCTAAGGGGCAAGAATCAGTGGTGACAAAATTTGGGAGGCAATCCTTAGAGTGCTCGCCCACACAGGTTGGGCAACTATGGGAAGAAAATGCTGTAGACTTAGGAGCTCTGGCCTTGAGTTTCACAAAAGGATCCAAGTTGGTAAGGTTATTGCAGAGATATGTCCGACAGACGCGGCTATAGGAAGCAATGGACAATCCAGGCGGCGAAACGAGGTAGGAGACTTGCTGGGGGTAAGATGAGGCGGGGCTGCAGCCCTTAAAACCCACAACTCCCCTTCTGGTCCCTGAGGAGAAGATTAGAGAGCTCTGATCAGTGCTGTTGGCCACACACAGAGTCTACCCTCCCACCCTGCACCCTGCTCTTCCAGCTCACTCTGCCCCATCACCAACTTTGCCGTGGGGTCCACTCGCTGCAGCTGCACAGGGCTCAGATCCCCAGGTCTCCGTCTGTCTCCCCTCACCAACCCCTCCCCCCAGGAACCCCCTGCTCCTCTCTCCCCTGTGTCCCTTTCTTTACTTCTCTCCCAGATTGTCCCCCATCCACCTGGGATCACCTCTTTTCTGCCCTCCTATCCAGCCCACACCACACCCAGCCAGGTCCTGCCCTCTCCTGTCAGTGTCTTGACATTATTCCCAAAAATATAATGGAGTAAATGTTTGGAGCTCGAGTCCAGAGTCCCTGGGTGCTGGGAATGGAGTTGGGGGTCAGAAGAGGCAGAGAAAAAAGAAATGTATCAAAGTCACTTTCCTTCACCTGTCTCGATGAACACCAACGTCTCCTCACAGCCCTCACTCAGCTTACATACCATGCTCCTCATCAGAAGCCATTTCCAGTCATGGAGAGAAACAGCTCTGAAGAGTGAAGATGTTGCTTCGTAGCATAAAAGAGCCACGGCCCCTAAAGAGAGAATGCCCTTCCAGTCATGGGCCCCTCACATTGCCTTCTCAGCCCCCCAGATGCCAGCCAAGAACTCAGCCTCCACAGATCCTGTCCCCTGAGGAACCCAGATATCCAGCCTCCCACCCTCTGGGGGTCCCAAAGCATCCAGCCCCACAGGACATACAAGGCACAGTAGAGATGGCCCCTAGGAGGCAGAGCAGCTGCACAGGGCTGAAGTGCTGGGGTCCCATGGTCCTGGGTCGGGGTCCTGGATGCTAGAGGTCAATCTGGAACCAAGTTCAATCCAGGTATCAAGCTCAGTTCTTGTCAGTTTCTGAATTCTCTGTTCACCTGCCTCTGGGTCACTGTTTCTAGAGCAGAAAGTTGATTGTCAAGTTCTTGTGACATAGGCTCCCTGAGGCCTTCAGGGACACAAGTCTTCCCATCTCCATAGTGTCCCCTCCAACCTGCCCTGAAGCCACCACATTAGCCTCTCAAGTCATGACTCTCACTCTCCTGCTTAGGTCCTCCCATTGGACATGGTGCTGAGCAGAGCTGACTTAGTCAAAGGATCACTGTTACACAGGCTGTTCTCCAGCCAGAGACGATGAGATCAGAACAACAGGGGGTGTGTATGGAAGTTAACTGAAATATTACTAAATAACTCTTGGCTCAGAAAAGGATCTTTAAATGTATATAGAAGTGAATAATAATGAACATAGTACATCTCTCACTCTACCTCTCTCACACACACACACAAGTATATGTAAAATCTGGTGAAAACTAATTAAGGTCCATAGTCCAGTTAAGAGTATTATGCCAATGTCAAGTTCATGCTTGTATACTACAGTTATAGAAGATACCCTGAGAGGAAGTGGAAGGAAGTATTTATGGCTTTACGACTTTTGCAACTTCTTGTGAGTCAATAACCATTTCAAAACCAAGGTTTTTTTTAACTACACATCAATTTTGGGACACAACTAAAGCAGTGTTTACAAGTAAATTTATACTTTCAATACATTTGTCAGGAAATAGGAACGTTAAAAAAACATGGTCCTGGATTAACTCAAGAAGTTGTACAAGGTGCAACAAAGCACCTGCCCCCCCAATAAAGGATAGAAATTAAGATAATGACAGAAATCAATGAATTAGAACAACAAAAATTATTACAGAAAACTTCACATTCATTCTTTGACAATATCAATGAGAAAATTCTCCAGCAAATCTAATCAAGAGAAAAACAGAAGATGCAAATAAAATACCAAATTAAAAATCAGAAGTAACAGACAGTGGCTGTTTTTGTTTTTTTTTTTTAAATACAAGTATCATTAAGAACTCTACATTTATAAATTTGAAAACCCAAATGAAGTTGGGGAGCCTGGCTGGCTCAGTTGGTACATCATGCTACTCTTGATCTTGGGATTGTGAGTTCGAGCCCCATGTTGGGTATAGAGATGATGTAAAAAAAAAAAAAACTTTAGAAAACCCAGATGAAGTAGATACATTTCTAAAATAATGTGAAATGCCAAGATTTGCATAAGAAGAGTATATGCAATGCCTTAAGGCAATGAGAATGGCCAATGACCTCTGGCAGAGACAAGAGAAAGAGTAACCCCAGTAGGAAAATGGGCCAAGCATATGAAGAGGCAGTTCTCAGAAGAGCAAACCAGAAAGGCTAGAAAACATGTGAAGAGACACTCAAGCTTGACAATAATCAGAGAAAGGCAGTCTATCAAACTGTCCATCTCTCAGACTAGCAAAGGACCAGAAAGCTGGAAAAAGATACGTGTTGGCAGCAATGTGGGATACAGATACAGGGACCCTTATGTACTGTTGCTCATGGGGTTGTTGGGAGGGGGACAGGACCCTCTTCTGGACCCTGAGGAACAGCTGAGAGTTCTGGTCAATGTTTCAGGCCCAAAGCAGCATTGCAGGGAGGAATCTGGCAATACTAAGTCAAATTAGGTTTACAAATTCCCATTTCTAGTATATCCTAGGTACACATAATAGAGATTTCCACCTTCATCTACAAAGCAACATATACCAGGATGCAGCATTACTATGGAGATGGTGAGTCGAAGGCAATGTGGGCATTCCTCCCTGAGACTTAGTGAACACACAACATGCAGGGGATGCACACCATGGAATATCATGCAGCAATTTAAAAAACTGATTAGACATACACATAACATGTACATGGATGGATCAAAAAAGCGCAGTGCTGACTATTTTAAATAAATAACACAGTATCACTTGCATAACTTAAAACCACATACACAGGGGTGCCTGGGTGGCTCAGTCAGTTAAGCATCCGGCTCTTGATTTCAGCTCAAGTTCTGATCTCAGGGTCATGAGTGCGAGCCCCACCTCGAGCTCTGTGTTTAGCGTGGAATCTGCTTAAGACTCTTTCTTCCTCTCCCTCTGCCCTTCCCCCATGCTCTCCCTCTAAATAAATAAATAAATAAAATCTTTTTGAAAAATAATAAAATAAAACCACATATGCAGGGGTGTCTGGCTGGCTCAGTAGGAAGAGCATGCAACTCTTGATCTCAGGGTCATGAGTTTGAGCCCCATGCTGGGTGTAGAGATTACTTGAATGAATGAATGAACAAACCTTTTTAAAAACACATGCACATAAGACACTGCACATCTTGCAAGAACACGAGAAACAAAAGATATGCATTAGCCACCTGAAGTGAGCGCCTACAGGAGGATTAGGGAATGAAGATTACTGGGAATACTAACTAAAACAATGTAGGTGGTACAAAAGTTCATAGGCGTTGGACTCAAAGGTGGAGCAAAGTTAGAATCCTTACACCTCCACTTACTAGCTGCGCAATCTTGTGTAAGTTGTTGAACTCATTTATAAAATGGATTAATAATACCTCTCATAAGGCCACTGTTGAAAATTAGTAAGCTTATTAATATAAAGTGCCAGGCAAGTGCTAAACTCTCCAAAAATGTTGGCTCTCCGGTCTCTCTCTGTCTCTCCACTATCTAAAGGATCAAGTTGAACCTCTTTAGTAGACAGTCAAGCCTTCCACACCCACATCCCCCACCGCCAGATTGGCCCCAAACAACCTGTCCAACTTTGTCTAGTACTGCTCCCCTGCACAGCAGTGCAGCTAGAGGTCACTTCTGCCACCCTTTTCTGTCCAGAATGCCTGGCACACAGCCTCTGGAACTCAGGAGTCTGTAGCAAACAAAGGGGCTGCGACCCACAGAAAAGATGGGACACAGGACAGGGAAATGAAGGCCGACAAAGGATCACACAAAAAGACCGGGCCACTCAGAGTAGATGGCACACACCAGCCTGGAAGGCAAAATGACAGAATCCAAAAGTCCGAAGCACAAGTGGAGACACAAACAGAAAAGAGTGGAATGAAATCTTCGGGGAGGGTCGGGTGGGGGGAGGAGGAAGAGGTGGTCAGAGGGTATGCTACCCCTACAAAAGAGAAACCGTGCAGAGGAGGAGCAAACCGATGGACTGGAACGTTGCAGGGAGTCAGAGGACCAGCAGCGGGAGCACAATAGGAGAAGCAGGAAAATGAGGCCTAGGGCGCAAAGACGTGGCTCTTTAGAGGGGGAAAGGAGACAGGGGTGGAAGGCGCAGAGAAAAGGGGACAACAGGAAAGGGTGGGAGGGAAACCGCGAAACACACAGAGAAGGCAGGTGAGGATGACAGAGTGGAGCCCAGATGACACTGATGAGTTGAGGTGCAATCCGGGAGGGATGTGCCTGCAAAGGGTGGAAAGGGCCAAAGGGACAGAAATACTACAGCGGCGTCTCGGAAAGAAAGTGAAGGGGTGGGGGGGACAGGGCCAGGCTATTCGGAAATTAGGAACGTGGAGGAATGGGGTCCGAAAATCAGCAGGATGGACAGGCGGACAGAAACTCCCAAGAGAACGGGAAAACCAAAGTTAGGAAAATTAGCACCTAAACAGACAGGAAGAGAGACACGGAAAGGGCGGCGACCCGAGGAGGTGGGATAAGGGAAAGAAACGGGAAAATCACAGGAGGGGAAACGCATAAAAGGAGGAGGGTAGATCCGGAGTTGGGGCAAGGGAGAGAAGTGAAAGAAACACGAGCGTCCACGCAGCGAAGAACCGCCCGAGCGAGGTCGAAGCCAGGAACGCCAGAGGCAAATCCTCGCTGCGCAGGCTAGAGGGCGAGACTGCGCGTGCGCACACAGGTCCCGGTCAACGCCTGCGGGTCCGACCCGGCAGCCGTTTCTGGGGGGCAGGGCCAGTCTCATCCTGGGAGCAGTACTCGACGCCCCATTGGCCACCTCTCCCAAAAGGGGAACTACAATCTGGGCAGGCAAGCCACAGGGGGAGGGGCAAGTGGGGGGGCGAGACTCAACTCGACGCGCTATTGGCTGGCCTGACAGTCTGGCGCGAGGCAAAGCGGGCTGGAGGTAAGGGGACGGCCGTCAGTGCAGGATCTTGAAGCGCATTGGTCGCTTGCTTCGGCGGCGGTAGTCGACGCTTGAAGCTCATTGGCCCTTGTGAGAAGGGGCGGGAAAACCGGCGCGGGGGCGGCCGTTCCTCACGCCACTTCCTCACCGCGTCCTTTCGCGTCCTCCTGACTGAGTCTGACTTTGCTCGCTCGAGGCTGTGGTAACCGCGGGCCGAGGACGCGAACTCGACCCCGCCCCTCCCTGTCCCTTCTCCCTGTCTGTGTGGCGCTGGACCCCCTCCCCCGCCCCCCCCCTCGCGCTCCTCGCGCCCCTCTCCTCCCCTCCCCCACGCCGCGGGCCCCTGGGTGCGCGCCCTGTGCCCCGCCCCCTCCCCGGGACCCTGGAGCGAGGCAAGGCCGCAGGCCGGGCTACCGAAAGAGGGTGCACGCGAGTAACAGCCGCGCGAGCCGTGGTGCGCTGCGGGGAGGTGGGCTGGGCGATGCATGAGCTAGGTTGCTGGGAATGGGCAAAGGTCCCCCGAAGCGCCCGGCGCAGCGACCCCAGAATTTGCGTCAGAGTTTGGAGGGCATATGGGTGCAGGAGGGGAATCTGTGCCATGAGGAGGGGGCCTGCGGCCGGGATCGGGGCCTGGCATCTGGAAGGGGCTCAGTAAACGTTTGTTGAGTGAATGAAAATAATTCTTGAAAGTGGGGCAAGGAATCCGTGAGAATAAAGTAATCGCGGGGGCGGGGAGAGGCGGCAAGAGAGTGTTCTGATTTCAAAGGGGAGCAAAGGGTACGTTGGCTTGCAGGAGGTACATGACGCTACGAACTGGACGGGGAGCATAAACGTAGGTGTAGGAACTGGATAAATGCACGAGGGAAGGTTGGTGGTTGCTGAAGACGATGGCAGGAAGAACTATCAGAACAGGGTGTTGGGGAAAAAGGGGTGTAGAATCCCTTGGGGGGCCTGTGGCTGCACGGGTAGGAGCATGGGACTTGTGCAGGAGAAAGCACAGGCCAGCAGCTGAGAACAATGTTTGGTTCAAAGAACACATAAGAAGGGAGGGAGGAGAGGGGAGCCGGGGAAGAAGGCGAGCCTTCTGGGAAGGAGGACGCCCGAGGAAGGCGTTGGGGTGAAGGAGGGAGAAAGCTGGGGAGGGGGGTGAAAGCTGAGTCCACAGACGTGTGCCGTGGAAACCCCTTGAGGTGTGGCTTCCCAGGGACAGGAGGGCTGGTCAGGAGAGGGCCCTGTGGCCACCCTGACCTTCCACTCCTGCCTCCAGATCCATGGAAGCCAACGAAGTGCCCACTTCCCACCACTGTGCTTCTGATTCTGCCACAGGGGGTGAGACCAGAGCCCCCCCAGGCACTGAGCTTATCCCCAGGAGAGCTGTCAGTCGCTCTCCAACCTGTGCCCGCTGCCGAAACCACGGCGTCACTGCCCACCTCAAGGGCCACAAGCGCCTGTGCCTCTTTCAGGCTTGCGAGTGTCACAAATGTGTCCTCATCTTGTGAGTATGAACGAGATCCAGGGAAGGGAGGAGGATGGGCCTCATCTAAAGCGAGGCTGACTTTTGACCCGCAACCCCCGTTTTAGGGAGCGCCGGAGGGTCATGGCTGCCCAGGTGGCCTTGCGTAGGCAACAGGAGGCACAGCTAAAGAGGCATCTGGCTCAGGGACTGATGAGGAGAGGGGAGGCTCCTCCCAAAGCTCCTAGCCATGCCAAGAAGGGAGCCACTCGACCAGGGGTCCCCCGTGAGTGTCTGGCTAGGGATGGGGCAGGGTTTGGGGTGGAGAAAGCCTAAGTAGGAAAGAGTCCCAGACCCGCCATTGGAATTGGTGTGTGACCTGGGGCAAAGTGTTTCTACTCTCTGGGCAGCCTCAGTCTCTCCAACTTCAAAATGCAGTCAGGTGTTGGGAGGATGTAGTGAGATCCATGGGTAGAAAAAGGCCACAGGAAGATAAGAACTCACTTTGCAGTTGGAGTGGAATGGGGGTCAGGAGAAAGGGCTCATCAGAGCTCTCTGTGGTCCCTCACAGCTGGAAAGGAGAACATAGCACCCCCGCCTCAGACACCCCATGGGGCAGTCCCACTGGCACTGACACCTCCTGGGAAGGTAAGGAGAACCTGGGCCCTGGGGGAGTGAATCCTATACCAGCCCCTGCCCAGCCCCCTTCCTCTGTGCCCTCAACACTTGGGTTCTACATCTAGTCCTGATTTGCATTATCATCCTGGGCAAATCATCTCTTCTATGGGTAAAAAATGAGAGGGTGGCCATGCCAAGTCTAAAGTTTTGAGGTCCTGCCCCCATCCTGGAACATACTCGTTCTTTCCCCAGCCTCGTTCCTGACTCCAGCTTGTGCTCTCTGCCCTTGCAGGATAACTCCCGGGGGCCTCTGCTGCTCAGCCGTCCCCCAGAAGCCTTGCCTTTGTCCTGGACTCCAGTGCCTCCGGGCTCTTGGGCTCCTGGACACTGGCTGCCTCCAGGCTTTTCCATGCCACCTCCTGTGGTATGCCACTTGCTATGCCAAGAACCTACAGTCCCTCTGCATCCCTTTCCTGGTAAGATGAATTCAACACTTTGATTAAACAGATATTTGAATGCCATTGAACCGCTGTGTCAGAAAGAGAAGAGGAAGAGGATACAGGGTAGGAAGGAAGATGGAAGCCATGACTTTAACCCCTGTACACTCCTGCATGCTCTTACCCTCATTAGGCTTTGACCCTGGCACTTCCCTCCGGCTGCCCACTCACGGGCCCCTCCCAACCTGCGCAGGATCTCGTCCGATACTGACGGCTCCTCTTTCTGGAGAATCCCAAGGGCCCTCTGCACTGCCCCGCGCGTGAGTAGGGAGGGAAGGATATGTGTCTATAATGTGCCTAATCCCGTCCTGGACACCACAGTAGATGATAGAGAACACAAGGTCTCAGACTAATGCGTGAAGAGAAGCTCTCCTAGCTCTGCCATTGCCTGACTGGGAACCTTTGTACAAGTATCTTTACCTCTCTGAACCTGGTTTTCGTTCAGTAAGTTGGAGATACAATTACCTTCTTTTTGCTTTGTCATGAGAATTAGTGATAATGTACAGAATACATCCTAGCAGAGGCCCTGGTCTTGGACAAATAGTGGCTATTAAATTCTCTTAAACAGATAAAATGGAATCAAATTGCCTGCTGAAAGGGTGGCGTGGGGCGTGATGGTGAGAGCCTCAGAGGCCTACAATAGAGGCAAGAGGCCTTTTGAGAAAGCTGCTCCTCAAATTCCATGGGGATTGGGGATCTAGGGGAGGGAAACTAGACTCTAGTAGGGCAGGAACAGCCATCCCAGTCCCTCTTGCTGTTTGATATATTTTTTAAAAATTGACACCAGTGACTCCCCATAATTGTCACAGTAGCTCTGGGGGAAAGAAGCTGGCAGGGATTTTCATTTTATAGCAAACAAAGCAGGCCAAGACAGGGGAAGGGACTTGCCCAAGTCCGCAAAGCCTAATGGCCCAGCAGGCATCCAGACTCCCATGTGTGCGTGTCTCTCCATGTGTTTAATCCCCTTGGCATCTTCTCTTCTTGCTTCTAGATGCTCTACTCTGATACTCCAGCCCTGTGGCACCCCAGACCCTCTTCTGCTGCAGCCACAGGTCCTGGGAAAGAAGTGGGATCCAGGACCCTGGGAGGAAATTGAGCCTGGGGAAGGGATGATAGGGGGTAGTGAAGTAACCAGGGGCTGAGAGAGTACTTGGAGGGTGGGCAGAGTGGGGATTCCCAGTCTGTTTCTTTCCTTTTCTTTTGCAGGCCCCCGGAGCTTCTCGCCTGGCCTGGACCTCTGCCTCCTCAGAGCGGCAGCTGCAGCGTGAGGCAGCTGAGGCTCTTGTGGATCTGAAAGATTCTTCCCAGGCTCCCCGCCTGACCTCTTCTGTTCCCCCCAACCCTGCCTGGATCTCCCTGCTCCACCCCTGTGGCCCACCAGGTAACCTGTTCCCTGAAAGAAGATGGAATAGGGATGGTTGGAAAATGGAGGTACCAGAGTAAGTAGGGACTAACCAAGATCGGGGTCAGCAGATTGATCATCTTCAGACCCAGGCTTCAGGCTTCTCAACCTAGTTCCTGGAATTGGAATTGAGAGTTGTTTGGTGAATTAGTTTTATTAATTTTGTGCTCAAAAGCAAATGTCCGGTGCCCTTATGTCAAGGAAAAGGAGGCCCTGAGAGAAGCAGGGACTTGCCCAAGGGCATATGGCAAGACTGGCAGAGCCTGATCTCCTGACTCCAGCCTAAGGCTCCCTCTCTAGACCCAAGCTGCCTGCTGCAGATCTGATAACTGCCTTCAAGGAGCTTCCATTCTACTTGGGAAAACAGAATGTCTTCACAAAGCTCAGTGACAAACCGGGAAAGAACTAGAGGAATCTTGAGGAATGAGACCTATGGGGACAGAGAGGGAAGGCCCGAGGAGTCTCCTGTCCAAGATGGCGGATTGGGCATGGTGTGTGGGTGAGGAAACCTGCCTGGAAGAACTGCTGGAACAGAAGGAGATGAGGCTGGAGAGACTTCCGATCACGGAGGTCTGGCATGCCAAGCTTAGGAGTCCAGACCAACAACTGTGCATGAAAGGGAGCCAGGGAATATTTCTGACCTAGGCAGGGACATATTCAGAGACCCTGAGCTTTAGAAGTCAGGTGTGGTGGCTGTGATGGAGGGATTAAAAGAGACAAGACTGAAGGTGGGAAAATCAGTGAGGGGGAAGTGTTTGCTATAATCCAGGTGAGTAAGGCTGAGGCCTGGATTGGATGGGGTAAAAAGAGGGGGTTGCTGGGAGAGGACAGGGATATGACCTAGTCCTACCCCTTTCCTTCCTGCTTATAGCTCCCGCTGGAGGAAGAGGATTCCAGCCTGTTGGCCCCTCTCTCCGACCCAGCCCAGCCCCCTCTGTGGCTCTGCATATTGGGCGTCTGGGCTCTATCTCCCTCCTAAGCTAGAAGCCCAGAGATGGAGGCCTTGCTGGGGCAAGAAGCAACAGCCTGCGGGCACTGCATATTTGGTATTTTACTTCCGGATTTATGCATGGAATTTAATGTAGTACAAGCTTCCGGCTTTTCTTTCCTTTTCTTTTCTTTTTTCCCTTTTTTAAGCTTTCAGGTGCTTTGTTAGCTTTTGGTTCATTTTGTAGTGTGGGCATTTCCTTGAATGAAAGTGGTATTCTCTTACTCACTTGGATCCTGGCACCTTTTTAAAATCCCCAACAAAGTGAGAGTTGTGCAGTTTAAGCTAACCAGTATCTAAATAGGTTTTTGCATGAGTTCATGTTCCAGAATATTTATTTGACATATGATCCTGTACATAGCTGTGCACTCATGTCTGTCTCCATGCATGCAAAAACAGGAGAGTATTTTCATTTTGTGTCTACCTTCGGGTGAGTAACTGGGAAATAAACCTTTGTTGTTTTAAGCCACTGAGATTTGGGGATTGTTTGTTGCTGCAGCCTAACCTAGTCTATCCTGACACAAAGGACTTGTTCAATTCACTTTCTGATAACTACCACAAATAAATACAAACTTGGATTTCTTAGAGCCAAGTAGGAAAGGTTGGTAGAGGAAGATAGTGGGAGATCCACTGATTCAACAGTGAAGTGCCTGCATGCCAGGCCTAGACCATTCCCAGCTGTCAGAGGGCTACAGACTGAAACACATACAGGGCCAAGCACATCATATAAATGAGTAAAGAAAGCTGGATGAGCCCTAGAAAACTGAGAATGCATGCCCTGCCTAAGGGGACAGCCTCCTTTGCATTAGTGGGCTGTCACCAGGCAGGAAAGTGGCTATTGCCACAACTTCTGATTCTTTAAGAGAAGCTGGAAAACTGAATCTCTACGTAGAACATCTTAATTTTCAAATAATGGCTCAGTTTTCTTCTTTAAATCCTATGTGAGCCAAACAAAACATTATCTTCAGGCCAGCATTGGCCAATAGAATGCCAATTTAATGCTAACCTAATGTAACATTTTTCAAATGGGGAAACTGAGCCCAAAGAGAATAGGAAGAATCAAGTTATCAAGGGTTTTTATCAAGGGTATATCAAGGGTTTTTCCTGAACTAGGGAGATTTATGTGTCTAAGTTTTGAAGGACCTACACGAGGTAAGAGACCATTATTATCATTTATTGAGTATCCCACTGTATGTGATTCACATATATCCTCACAGCAACTCTGTAAACCATGCATGCTTACTCCCATTTTACAAATAAATAACAAGTTTAAAGAGATAAAGTGACTTGCCCAACTATTTTAGGGAAAATTTCTAGGCAAATACAGGGGGAAGTTTCCCTCTTCTTGTCAAGTCCCAAATCAATTACTAGGTAATTTTTACAAAACAGAGTGAAAGATTTTGAGCTCCAGGAGACAGGCATGAGCCCAAGGGTTTTTCAAAAAGTCTTTTATTTTTCTACTCAAGGTATCCTTAAGTGATAATCAGATCTTATCTGCATTTGTTTCATAGTCCCCTGCTGTCAAGTCCTCCTTGAACCGTTCCACATATATGAAGGGCAGAGGGAGAGGGAGAAGCAGGCTTGATCCCACAACCCTGGGATCATGACCTGAGCCAAAGGCAGATGTTTAACCCACTGAGCCACCCAGGCACCTTCTCACACCCCTCTTTTTATTCAGGATGATTGCTGGTGATGGCATTCAGTCACAGCTTGTTCCCTGGTGTCTGGGGACTTGAGAAGGTAGGCTTCTTCTACTTCCTAACATTACAGAGTAAAAAATCTGTAACAATTCTCAGGAATCAGCACAAAATAATTAAAGGAGGAAAGTCCTCTTCACACTTTCCTTCCCTCCCCTTGTTATAACTTAGGTATGTGAATGCCCCCTAATAGATTTGCCATGCCATGCTCTCCCAAATGACAGACGACCAAGTCCACATGGTCACGGAGGAGGTTTGCAACATGAAACATGGCTACTCAGGGCTGAGCAAAGGTCCCAGTACACCAAGGTCACAGAGCTGGGAAGAGTAAAAGAGAAAGTATAATTTGGGGTTAAAGGGTGACATGAGAAGGTGGGGAAAGAGATGACGACTGGGCCAAGGAGCTAGGGGCAGGTTCCAGACCCTTCTCATTTCTTGGCAGCCCACCTCCCCTTCCAGCCAGACCTGCAGGGCTTTTCCTACCACTGGCTAGGCCTGCTTTGTCTATCATTTCCTTAGGGCTTTCCCACGGGTGCCTGGGGGAGAGGGTGGAGGCTCTGCAGAGGTGAGCCTTGGGCAAAAAAGGGCGAATGTAAGAATTGCTCAGGCCCCTATGTCACTGCGTCTTTGGGTGCCGCAACCTTCATCTGTGGTTGTAGGGAGCCAAGTGGGCTCCTGGCCTCTGACCAGCCCTTGGGAGATGACAGTCAGTGGACTGTCAGCACTGTTTCATGTGCCACCCCCTTTCCCATTTCCCATTTCCCATGGCAGGGCAAGAAAAGGTGCTGCCCAGTCCAATAGGTAATGAATAAATCATACCCCTTCTCAGGTTCTTTTGTGTACCATCCTGACCTTCAGAAATAACCCATGAGGTTCCAGATTTGAAGTACCATCCCTCTCTCCAAACAGGATTTCCCCAACCCACCAGTCACCCACTTACAACCTCAGAAGCTCATTTCACATCCTCCCCTTTGGGAATCTATGCTCCCTTCACTCCAGTCCACCTGGTCCACTCCTGACCACACTCCTTGTCCAGTGTAGAACCAGCATCATACCACCCATCCCTAGCCCCATCCAGTTTCTACTCAGACCCTCATTACATGATCCATGTAGGCCTCATTCTGCAACCCCCGTCCCATTGTGTACCTGGTTCTGCGGCCCCTAACACATGTTCTCATAGACACAGTCCTATAAGCCATACCCTGCATAGGCCCTCGTGAGATCCTGAGCTCTTCCCAAACACAAGATTCCCTCTCTGGGGAAATCTGACTTGATGTCTCCCAGAAGCTCCTCAGGCAGAGTTCCCTACATTTCTACATTCACAGGCCTGATCACCCTGAGCAGCCCCTGGCTCTGTGCATCTATGTCTCCCCCTCCAAGAATAAGTAGTCTCAGGGCACAGGGCCTGTGTCCACTTCCTCTCTGGGAACTCAAGAAATAACTAAACATGTTCTGTCTGATTCCTTTGGATTTATTTTTTTCCTACAAAGTTAACACACTCTAATGCTTCCTCTCCCCTCATCACAATATGAACAATTGAGAACTTCCTGTCCTCAAACCATTTTTTAAAACAGAGTTTATATTTTAGAGAAGTTTTTCACAGCAAAATTGAGCAGAATGTAAGTGTTTCCATGGTGTCCCTGCCCCCAAATAAGCACAGCCTCCCTCACTATCAACGTCCCCCACCAGAGTGGTACATTTGTTAAAGCTTATCAGTCTACATTCATGTGTCATTACCACCCAAAGTCCATAGTTTATATTAGGGTTCACTCTTTCTTGTACATTTTATGTACAAATGTACAAATTGTACATTTTATGGGTTTGCATAAACATGTAATGACATGTATCCACCATTATATTATCACACAGAATAGTTTTGAGGTTTTTTAAAGATTTTATTTATCTGAGGGGCACCTGGGTGGCTCAGTCGTTAAGCATCTGCCTTCAGCTCGGGTCATGATCCCAGGGTCCTGGGATCGAGCCCCGCATCAGGCTCCCTGCTCAGCGGGAAGCTTGCTTCTTCCTCTCCCAATCCCCCTGCTTGTGTTCCTGCTCTCGCTATGCCTCTGTCAAATAAATAAATAAAATATTTTAATTAGAAAAAAGATTTTATTTATTTGACAGAGAGAGAGCACAAGCAGGGGGAGTGGCAGGCAGAGAGAGAAGCAGACTCCCCTCTGAGCCGGGAGCCCAGGGCAGGACTCGATCCCAGGACCCTGAGATCATGACTTGAGCCGAAAGCAGATGCTTAACTGACTGAGTCACCCAGGCACCCGTATCACACAGAATAGTTTCACTGTCCTAAGATTTCTCTGTGCTCCACCTATTATTCATCCTTACCCCCACCAACCCCTGGCAACCAATGACCTTTTTACTGTTTCCATAATTTTGCTTTTTTCCCAGAATGTCATATAGTTGGAATCCTACAGTATGCCTTTTCAGATTGCTTTCTTTCACTTAGTAATATGCATCTAAGTTTGCTCTTTGTCTTTTCATGTCCTGATAGTTCCTTTCTTTTTAGCACTAGTATTCTATTATCTAGATGTACCACAACTTCTAATCATTTTTAAATTCTGTCTATAGAATATTGAAAATGGAGAGTCATCAGCTGTGGATTCAAATCCCAACTCAGGCTTTACCCTTACTCGAGCTTAGTCAAGCAACTTGACTCTCTAAAATTCAGTTGCCTGAAAGTGGTTTGTAACCACCTTACAGAGTTAAGATTATGAACCTATAAAAATTAACACCAAGGACATAGTACTGAGAAACCATGTTATCTAAAATCATAGACTGTCAGAAAGTTTGCTCTTTGAAATCATAGTAATAGTGAGAAGGGGACATCTCACTCTTGCCTGGAATGGCAATGTCACTTTAACATAGAGAAGCAGGCATGATTTCCAACCCAGGTGCAGAGTTTCAGAGGAGGGATTTCTGGAGATTGCATTTATCTTAACCCTATAATTTCTGAAGAAACAGGACCCTGTGTCTACTTCTCAGCCCGGGCATGATGTTGACCCTATTACATAGGATCTGCTTTGCCTTGAGTCCATCAAAGCTCTGCTTAATAAGTTTTACCTAACCTTCATTCTTCCCTAAAAACTGTATTAACCCCGTGTCTTCCTTTGTTTGGTGAGGCACACTACACAGTTCCTCTGGAGAGCTCTTTTTTTGAAAAAAGAAATATTTAGTAAATTGACTCAAGTGAATTAAATGATTCAGCACTGATACTAGAAAAGTACATCAAGGGACACCTGGGTGGCTCAGTGGGTTAAGCGTCTGCTCGGGTCATGATCCCAGGGTCCTGGGATTGAGTCCTGCACGGGGCTCCTTGCTCAGCTGGGAGCCTGCTTCTCCCTCTGCCTGGCGCTCCCCCTGCTTGTGCTCTCTCTGACAAATAAATAAATAAAATCTTTTTTAAAACGTACATAAAAAATGTATAAAAAGTGAATATAAATTACCCAAGTATATGGACATTTATAGTTACACATGCATACAACTTACATATTCAAACACACACATGTTGATTTTGGGGGGGAAATCTGAGATACTAAAACTATTTTCAAGTGTGAAATGCGTTTCAACATTCTGCATGAATCTAAATACATGATGTTATCATGCTTAGAAGGATGGTTTATATTCTAGACTGAATGTTTGTGTCACCCCCCAAAATTCCTACACTGAAACCTAATTTCCACTTGTGATGGTATTTGAAGGTGGTGCCTTTGGAAGGGATTAGTGCCCTAATAAAATATTCCCCCAAAGAGCTCACTCACTCACCTTTTTGCCATGTGAGGACATGAACCAGGAAGCTGGCCCTCACCAGACACTAGATCTGCTGGCACTTTGATTTTGGACTTTCCCAGCCTCCAGAACTATGGGAAATAAATTTCTGTTGTTTATAAGCCACTGTCCATGGTATTTTGTTATAGTAGCCTGAACCAACTAAAATAGTTGGTTTTAATTTTTTAACAGATACTGGTATATCATATTGGCTTGTTAATAACCAAGGCATTTTGCATACACAATATCTCACTGTGGAAAAAATTAATATTATTTGCTCTGATGTTTTTCAACTTTGTCTTTTCAACATAATAGCCACACGAATTTAAGTGTCTCCCTTTTGTAGCAAGTTAACAATTTTTTTCAAGATTTTATTTATTCATAAGAGGGAGAAGCAGATCAGAGAGCCCCATGCGGGACTCGATCCCAGGACGCTGGGATCATGACCTAAGCCGAAGGCAGACGCTTAACCATCTGAGCCACGCAGGCGCCCCAAGTTAACAATTTTATTGGACAAGTGTGTCCCTTCTGTTTTTGGTTGTTGGACCCTACAAGGATTAGACTAGATTACACATGTAACACTACATAACATTTATCCGTGCCTGGCACAGAGGAGGCACACAAAAAAATATTTGCTGATGTAATTAATTTGATACACCATGTAGAGGAGCAGTCACTTAAAAGTGGCAAACAAACGGGATTTCGGTATATCCATTTAAATTGTATTTTCTTTCTTTCTTTTTTTTTTTTAAAGATTTATTTATTTGGGGGCGCCTGGGTGGCTCAGTTGGTTAAGCGGCTGCCTTCGGCTCAGGTCATGATCCTGGAGTCCCTGGATCGAGTCCCGCATCGGGCTCCCTGCTCGGCGGGGAGTCTGCTTCTCCCTCTGACCCTCCCCCACTCATGTACTCTCTCTCTCTCTCTCATTCTCGCTCTCTCAAATAAATAAATAAATCTTTAAAAAAAAAAAGATTTATTTATTTGACAGAGAGAGAGACAGCGAGAGCAGGAACACAAGCAGGGGGAGGGGGAGAGGGAGAAAGCAGGTTTCCCGCGGAGCAGGGAGCCCGATGCGGGGCTCGATCCCAGGATCCCGGGATCAGGACCTGAGCCAAAGGCAGACGCTCAACGACTGAACCACCCAGGCGCCCGTATTTTCTCTTTCTTAATGGAGAGAATGAAGCATTGAAAGGCCAGTGAAGTGGATAGACTCTTAAGTGGGCAAAATAAACCCAAAGCGCTGAGCGAACAGATTCAGACACTAGGAGGCAGAGCTGCACTAACTTCTCCGAAGGTCCCGCCTCCGCCTTTTTGTCCCTGCCCTGGTCTCCCCCCACCCCTGCGGTGCCTCGTTCCCACTGCGGTAGCCTGGGCCGTGATGAAGCAGTTTCCGCCCTAACAGGGGTGGTCCGGCGCCTCCTGCTCTCGCGAGGACTGGCGGTCGAACACATTTCCTCTTTGCTCCACCGCTGGGTCCCCCATCACAGTTCCGCCCTTCCTACCCCCCACTTCCGGCCCGAAAAGCCGCCCCGAGAGGGGGTCGCCCCGCGGGGGCGCGGGCAGTGGTCGGGTCCCTCTTTCCTGCCCATCCAAATGGCCCACAACTTCCGCCACCACCGTCTCCTCCGCCGCTGTTCCTTCCGCCACGATCGACGCAAACGAAGCCACACACCCCCAGCTCAGCACGGGAGCTTTACTTCGCTCCGGGAGAGGAGAGGGCGGGGAGGAAGCACGCCTCCATCCCCTCGCCCTTGGCTTTTCCCTTCGCCAGCCCGCCTCATCACCACACACCCTCCCACCTCCGCCGAGGCGAAGCCGCATTCGCCCTGAGAGAGGCGGGGCTGCTCTTCTGGCCCCGCTCTCGCGAGCGCTCAGACCTCTCGCGAGACCCGACGCCCGACTTGTGCGCCCGGGAAACCCCGTTGCTCCCTTTCCCCTGGCTGGCAGCGCGGAGGCCGCACGGTAGGGCGGGCGCTCCGGTTCGGGCTGGGCGCGGGGCGTCAGGGCCCGACTCCCCAGCCGGGAGCGCGTGCCGGCGGGCTCCGGGGCGACTGCGTGGGGCCGCCCCGCCCCCTGGAGCCGCAGCCACGTGCGAGCGGCAGGCCCGGACATGCCCGGTCGGCGCGGTCCGGGAACCGAGACTGGGCCAGGTGGGCGGCGTGGATGCGGGGGGCGCCCCCGATTCGGGGGCTGGGGTCTTCTAGCGTTTCCACAACGGCGCCAGTCCGTGCTTGTGCGACCCGCAGAGACCGTGAGGGGCGGTGAACTCGAGCACCCACAGGCTCCGGGGCCTTTAGGGCCCAGTCCCGAGGCGGGACCTTGGGAAGTAACGGGAGTGCGGCGGTTTCAGTCGCGTGGGGGCGAGGCCCCGGCTCCTCTCAGTCGTCTGCACCGGTCCTGAGCTCACATGCTTGCTCCTTCTCTCTCAGATGCCTGGAGTTACTGTAAAAGACGTGAACCAGCAGGAGTTCGTCAGAGCTCTGGCAGCCTTCCTCAAAAAGTGAGTGTGGGGACCGGGGCTTCACGGCGGATGGAGGCTGTGGTCTTTGCTGGCTCCTTGGCAGGCGTTGTTTCTCTCCCCGGGGCGGGGGCGGGGGGGGGGGCTTGTGTGAGGTCTCAGAGTGGAGTCCGCTTGTCTGCCTGAGGCCTGGGCTTGGCTTGTAGCTGGGTTTCAGATGCTTTGTATTCTGGGACACATGGGGCTCCTGGTAACCTACAGTTGTGCTGAGCAGAGGGGATGGGGGGGGGGTGGAGTTTGTGCAGACTCCTCAATCGTGCCTTTCTCACTGTTGGTCCCAGGTCTGGGAAGCTGAAAGTCCCTGAATGGGTGGACACTGTCAAGCTGGCCTGGGCTTGGCTTGTAGCTGGGTTTCAGATGCTTTGTATTCAGGGACACATGGGGCTCCTGGTAACCTACAGTTGTGCTGAGCAGAGGGGATGGGGGGGGTGGAGTTTGTGCAGACTCCTCAATCGTGCCTTTCTCACTGTTGGTCCCAGGTCTGGGAAGCTGAAAGTCCCTGAATGGGTGGACACTGTCAAGCTGGCCTGGGCTTGGCTTGTAGCTGGGTTTCAGATGCTTTGTATTCAGGGACACATGGGGCTCCTGGTAACCTACAGTTGTGCTGAGCAGAGGGGATGGGGGGGGTGGAGTTTGTGCAGACTCCTCAATCGTGCCTTTCTCACTGTTGGTCCCAGGTCTGGGAAGCTGAAAGTCCCTGAATGGGTGGACACTGTCAAGCTGGCCAAGCATAAAGAGCTTGCTCCCTACGATGAAAACTGGTTCTACACACGAGCTGGTGAGGAACTGGGGCCTCTGGGGAGTGGGGGCCTGGGTGACCTGTGGCACGCACCACACCTCCCCATTCTGTCTGTGAGCCAAGATGGCACGAGAGGTGAAACTCTTTATAGTTGACCTACAGTGTGAGAGGAGAGACCTCAGACTGTCTCTGCGTGCTTGTGTGACACTTGATAACTTCACATTCTGAATCCGTTTCTTCATTTGTAGGAGGTTTATGTAAGGACTGGTGGCTTCCTCTGAGCCTCCGCGGAAATCCAGGGTCAAATGAGTGTTCATAGTTTACTTAAAGGTGGTGTGTTTTAGAGGGAGGCATTTATCTTTCTATGTTCATGGGGTCTAGACTCAAATTCTTCTCTGCTGCTTAACTGTGTGACCTCCATCTGTGTGTGCCTCTGTGGTCCTCTCTAAAATGGGGCTATGACTGTACCATTGCAGGTTTGTAGTGGGAATCAGATGAGCTTATGGCTGTTAAAATGCTATAAACTGTACCTATGGGAGAGTAATCTTTCAAGAAAAGTTAAAGGTCTTGTTTTTATTCAGATCATCAGGCCAGCTTTTTCCTTGTCTCTCTAGTAAGTTATTCCTAAGAGGTTAAGGTTTGGCCAGGTCCCTCCTTGCTCTAAATCTTCGTAAGTCTCAAGTGCCTAAAAGAAGGCCTTATGGTCACCCTGTAACCATGGCAGTCCTCTCTCTTTATTAGTGTCCCAGTGATGACACCTTGGAAGGAATGACTTAAATGTAGCATCTGATAGCACAGTGCTAATTTTCACCTGTCCTTGACATTTCAAGTTTCTCTAAGCTGTCACCCCACGAAGGCCTAACTTAGGGATTGGAGGGTAGGGGGGTCAGTGCAAGATTGTTCAGGTGGCAGCCTCTGCACAGGCCTTCACTAAGGGCCCTCAGCCTCTGCAACTATCAACCTTCCTCTGTGACATAGGGGCTCCCTCCTGGCCAAAGCTTGTCTCCAGATAGGAAGTAGGTGGGAAGCAAGCATTGAGAAAACTTCAGGAAGACCTTGAGAAGAGTTGGCCTCGGTACAAGTTGCCTTGGTACTTCAGAACACAGAGCGTTTTGTAGATTTGTGGTGCACTCGTGCGTGAAGTGTCATGAGATCCACTCTAATTTAGGCTCTAGACTGGGCACAGGGGCCAACATGACTCGGCCACAGCCTCAGACCCCTGAGGATGAAACTGTCAACTCTCGTGTGGGTAGGGTGAGTGGCATACGGTGGGAATCGCTGCTGTGCTTTTAGAAAGAAAATGGGGGGGAGGGGACGCCTGCGTGGCTCAGTCATTAAGCGTCTGCCTTGCGCTCAGGTCATGATCCCAGGGTCCTGGGATCAAGCCCTGCATCGGGCTCTCTGCTCAGCAGGAATCCTGCTTCTCTCTCTCCCACTCCCCCTGCTTGTGTTCCCTCTCTCGCTGTGTCTCTGTCAAATAAATAATAATTAAAAAAAGATCTTGGGGGAAAAAAAGAAAATGGAGCTGGTGGAGGGAAGCTGATGTGACTTCCCCGGCACATCAGTGTTGGAGCCTGAATGAGACCACCACCCCATCTACCCGTCTTGGGAAGCAAGGCTGCCTGGCCCTGAATGTTCTTTGGCAGTGCCCCAAGAATCAGTTGGTCAAGGCAGCTTTGGATCTAAAATGAGAAATTCTACTAGCTTTTTCTGTATGGTCAGGTAAATATACATATTTTGCTTAATCTGTCTTACCAAAAACCTCCCAGGTAGTACTGGTAGTTTCTGTTTCATGGTGGTTGTCAGGAAGGTCAAGTAACATGTCAGCTAGTGATGCCACAGTCTGCCACTCCCATGCCATCACTTGAGGTGGGGTTTCCAGCTCTCTTCTCTTGGCTCATTTCATACTTTATGTTTTTGTAGATGGGGAAAGATTAGTGGGAAATTAGAAAGACTCTGGGCAGTACACATAGATGAGTCTTATTGTGGCTGTGGTCCTTTTCTGCCCGCTATGCCCCTTCTCTGACAACTCACACTGAGTGTACATCTTCTACCTGCCCTCCTGGTCTCCCTTTTTTAAGATTCCCAAATGCCTTTTTTTTTTTATTAAAATGTTTTATTTATTTATTCATGAGAGTCAGAGAGAGAGAGAGAGAGGCAGAGGTAGAAGCAGGCTCCCCACCTAGCAGGGAGCCTGATGCGGGACTCGATCCCAGGACCCCGGGATCATGACCTGAGCCGAAGGCAGACGCTTAACCATCTGAGCCACCCAGGCGCCCCTCCCAAATGCCTTTTTAAGATTTTTTATTTATTTATTTGCAGCCTGATGCAGAGCTCGATCCCAGGACCCCGGGATCACGACCCGAGCCGAAGGCAGACACCTAACTGACTGAGTCACCCAGGTGCCCCCCAACCTCCTTTTTTGACCTCACTTGCCCAGCCGACTTAGTGGCATAGTATGGGGGTCCTAGACCCAGGTCTGTTAAGTACCTTTTTGTTGGGACACCACCATGCCTATTTGTTTACATCCACTCCAGAGGCAGAGTTGCAGTTGTGACAGACCACGTGGCCTACAAAACTGAAAATACTGACTTTGACCCTTGGGGCGCCTGGGTCGCTCAGTCGTTAAGCGTCTGCCTTCGGCTCAGATCATGATCCCAGGGTCCTGGGATCGAGTCCCACATCGGAATCCATGCTCGGCGGGAAGCCTGCTTCTCCCTCTCCCACTCCCCCGCTTGTGTTCCCTCACTTGCTGTGTCTCTCTCTGTCAAAGAAATAAAATCTTTTTCTTTTTTTTTTAAGATTGATTTATTTATTTGAAAGAGCGAGAATGAGAGAGAGTACATGAGAGGGGGGAGGGTCAGAGGGAGAAGCGGGACTCGATCCCGGGACTCCAGGATCATGACCTGAGCCGAAGGCAGTCGCTTAACCAACTGAGCCACCCAGGCGCCCGACTTTGTCCCTTTATAGGAGAAGTTTGCTAGCCTGAAGTGCTCCCACCTAGTTAGGGTTAGCTCATACTCTGAACAAGTCAAGTCATAGAAGATACTTCATTACCAAAGAGGAAACTGAGGTACAAACAGGTGAAATGACCCTGGGAGAGCATGGCACACTAACTCCAAAACCAGAGTCTGTGCTGTATTTGCTTTATTCCTTCTCTGGATCATGGGGCCTTGGCCTCTTGTCCCCTCGGGGGTCTGGAACCAAGCACAGTGGGGCAGTGGTCTGTCCTGGGAGGCTGAGGTCTGGCAGTAGGTGGTGTGGGGATTGACTTCATGGAGTGACAGGTGCTGATCTCTGGTGGGGGTGGGGGTGATAAAAACAAGGCAAACGGCAGAGCCCACCTGAGGGTGCTTTGGAAAAGGGACAGAGCTATAGGAGTAAGAAGTACCAAGGCACAGTGGTGAAGGTTGAGGTAGGTAGGGCTAGAAAGAACCTGTGTCAGGAGCTGCTCTGAGGAGGGGCAGCGTCAAGGAAAGACCATCGTAGGGTTTTGTGAAGGGGCTGTTGCAGTGTGGCCTTGGGCAAGTCTCTTGACTTTTCAGTTCTCAGAAGGTCCTGCTTGGGAGGGAGGGGAGACTCCCATTGTGTCTTGTCAGCAAGCAGCTCTGAATTGGGACATCTGAAGGCGTTTTATTTACTATAGGATGGAACCTGGTCCTCTCTGCCCCCTGCTGTGTTAGTGTCAGGATCAAGGCCTTGGAGACTGTGCAGGAACAAGTTAAGGGGTGACGGTCGGGAAAGTGATTCTGTCCTTAGAAGCTTAGCGGGGCACCTGGGTGGCTCAGTTGGTTAAGTGACTGCCTTCGGCTCAGGTCATGATCCTGGAGTCCCGGGATCGAGTCCCACATCGGGCTCCCTGCTCGGCAGGGAGTCTGCTTCTTTCTCTGACCTTCCCCCCTCTCATGTGCTCTCTCTCGTTCTCTCTCTCTGAAATAAATAAATAAAATCTTTAAAAAAAAAAGAAGCTTAGCGGAGAAGGGTTGAGGGCAAGATCTATCTGGGAGGCCTCCTTTCCCCACTTTGTGACTCTGTAGGTCAGGATGGGATCACAGATCTGAACTTAAAGCCAGCTGTTGAGACGCTGAGCTGCAAAGACGCTTGTGCAGCTTCCTTGGGCTGCGGTGCTCCAGTGCACCCTCCCTTGTGACCGTCCTCCAGCTGGCAGCCCGGTGCTGGTCTCTCCTTAACGGCTGGAGGTGTGGAGTGACTAGTGGTTACTAGGGACGGGATTTCCCAAGAGGAGCACAGCAGAAAGCCTTCAGAGGGACTTAAGGAGAAGCCAATTGTGATGACACCTGGCTCGCTGTGACCCTCATAAACAGCGGCTAGGATGGCCTGGATTTGTGATGCTACAACTCCACTTCAAAGGGATTGGGACCTGGGTCTCAAGTGGGGTGGGGGGGGGTGTGAAAAACAGGTCAATGTTTTGTAGAACTCGTGTATTTCGACTGTAATACCTTTTCAGTTTGTGGAGTTTAACACTCTGCCTTGTAATGGGTCAGGAAAATCATTATCAACTGGGTTGGGTGGGGGGACACCTAGGCTCGTGACGTTTGACACCATACCAGGTAGTTTTATGCAGCTTTAAAAAAAAAATTAACGGAGCCCACCACCCCTTCCTTGAGGAAACTAATATGTTGAACTTGGCTGGAGCTTATTCTCTGCCACTCCTCGGGATTTAAGGAAGTCGTGCCCTTTAGGTACCGTGGCCCAGAGCACCTGAATCCGGGGTGGACTCTGAACAGCTGATGAGGAGCAGTGCTGGGATCCAGACCCTATGTTACCAGACAGCCCAGGGGTTGGCCACCCCTTTTCATGGAGCCCAGATGAGGACCGGGCGGAACGTTGGTCCGGTCTTGGCCAGGCATCTCCTGGGCGTCTGTGTGTTTAGGAGTATTCATCTCCCCCCCTTCGTGAGGATGTCCTGCTCTCCCCAGCCCTGGGTACAGCCCAAGTGGGAGAGCAGCTCTCCAGCCCGGTCAGGGCGTGGCCTGGGACAGGCTCGAGAGGAAGGGTGGTAGGTGTTGGGCATGCGAGCTGGTCTTAAAGTCTGGAGTTCTCCAGTGATACCACTGGAAGGGGAGGTTTGGTCTTGGAGGTGTGGGGGGGTAGGGCGTGGGGTAGGAAGAACCAAGGAGAAGAGTGTTAAAGTGAGCAGAGGCCGGAAGCAGTGAAACTGAGGAGCGGTTGTATGGTGGTCCTGATAGGTGGGGAGAGTTTGGGCAGTGCTGTGGCTCCCAAAGCCGTGGCTGTATCCGGAGACCATCTTACGGGGGTGGGGGTGGGGAACAAGTGGTGTGGAAGAACTACTCTGGGAGGGGCAGGCCGAGGGGAGGAGTACCCACTTCACCCCCACCCCGAGCTGGCCACACTGGAGGGTCATGGACATGGCCTGGTACCAGCTCTTAGGAGTAAGTAGTTACGGAGTGAATCCTGATTCCCCCTCTGATCTGTAGAACTAAAGCTTACGTGCTGGGCTCTAGGGGCCCTGGAATGACCTGGAGTCCCTGTATCAGGCCCTAATGCCTCCACATTGCAGTGGCCCCCTGAGGTAGAAAGCCTGAACAGTCTGGAGGGGCTGTCCCTCAGAGCTGTGTGACATGAGGCCGGTGAGTATCCTCCGGAGCCTGTTGGCTTTTCTGTGAAGGAGAGTAGTAGACACCTGGGCAGTGCTCACAGCCACGCTCTTCTCAGGGACTGTTACTCCTGATTCTCAGATGAGGGTGAGTGACTTGCCAAGGCCATACCATCAGGCCGGGTCCTGAGGCCATCTTACTGCCTTGGGGGAGAGAACAAAAAGCAGATGGCACAGGGCCCAGTGGAGAAGCAGTCCTGTTGAACAGAACAGTGAGGGACCGGGGACTTGCCCAAGCCAGGCTAGGGATGAGAACCCTGTGTCCGTGGGGGTATCCCCATTCCAGGTTGCATGGGGTGTCCGCTCTAGCCCTGAGTTCTCTGGGGCTGAGGGGCTCGGGGAGCTGCACTCAGGTGGCGGCATGGCCCTTCGCATTACCCTGCTGTCCCTCGGGCCTGGGCATGTGGAGATGGACAGTCACGGCTTAAGCATTTACTAGGGTCTACCCGCAGGACAGAGTCCTCCCTCACAGCAGCACAGCTGTGGCAGGCCCTCTGGTCTCCCCGGCTGGGCACAGGGTGCAGGGAAGCTTAGCAGCAGGATAGCGGCGGGGGCCTGGTACTGGGTCTTGGTGTGTGTTCTCCGTTTCCTCAGGCTATATAATGGGAAGAATTAGCGGCCACACACACACGATAGGTGTGTGATCTCGAGCAAGGCCCTTCCCTCGGCCTGCCTCAACTGTGGAGAGGAGTCTTCTGTGCTCGAGAAGGGTCCTCACATCTCCTGCCCACCGCCCCCCCCCCCCCCCCCCAGCTTCCACAGCACGGCACCTGTACCTCCGGGGCGGCGCTGGGGTCGGCTCCATGACCAAGATCTACGGGGGACGTCAGAGAAACGGGGTCATGCCCAGCCACTTCAGTAGAGGCTCCAAGAGCGTGGCCCGCAGGGTCCTCCAAGCCCTAGAGGGGCTGAAAATGGTGGAAAAGGACCAAGATGGGTAAGCAGGGGCAGGGGGATGGCTGGGAACGGGTGGTGAGGAGACTTGGGGTCAGATCACCTGAAATGAAGTTGTCTAGAGCCATCCTTACCCCCATGGAGAGGTGCCAGGTCTGTCCTGCACGGTGGGGATTGTGCAGAAAAGCGAACAGTGAGGGGCCTCACCCCGACCTCTCTGGCTGACTACCCTGAGCTCCAGGAAGGTAATTTGGCGACTGTCCGCTTTCATTAGCCTGCTCGTTAACTTTTCCCAATTGATTTTTCGGGGCTTTTGATCTAATGCTTGCACAAACGACACCCCGGCAGCTCCCAGGGGGGCTCCCACTCCTGCCCCTAGCTCGTTAGAATGCAGCCGACCGGGGCCCTCAGTGGGACTTGGCTGCTGTCATGTGGTCCCATGGCCAGGTGCCTTTTTGGGAAGCCTGGCTCACATCTAGGAGGGGCCTGGCAGCGACAGGGCTGAGAGCCTGCACTAATGGGGAGCTGCTTGACTGTTCTCCCACAGGGGCCGCAAACTGACACCTCAGGGACAGAGAGATCTGGACAGAATCGCTGGACAGGTGAGGCCTGGGTGTGCCAGGGCTGGGTCCCTTAGTCACTGCCCGGGGAATTTTCAGAGCCTGGGCTTTGTTAGATCAGAGCTTCCTCCCCTGCCCAGCCTGGTGGGGGTCAGAGGAGGGCTGGCCTGTGGTGGGGGGCGGGGGGTGGCGGGTGCAGGAGAAAGAACATTTCTGACTGACTTCCTGCTAGAGCTGGTTGGAAATGTTGGTGCTGGAGTGCAGCTGGGCTTGTTTCTCATGCAGGACATGTTCCTGCACACACAACTCCCTCTTCCCAGGTCAGCCTTCTTAGGATTCTGGCTGCACTGTTTCCTCCTATTCTTCATGCTTGCTGAGCACCAGATGGGAAGGCTTTGGAGAGGGGGAGGCAAGCCAGCTCAGAACTCAGGTCTCCGTCCAGATGACTGACTGGCTGGACACCTTGGGGCAGAGTCCGTTTGCCTGGAGCCAATCTCCCCGTCTATGGAGCAGTCTCCTCTTGCCAGCCTGGGAGGGTGGTCGTGAGGGCTCAGTGAGCTACAGCAGCGGGAGCCCCCAGGGCCAGGCGTGAACCCATTGTTGGTTTTCTTCTTTATCATTGACTCAGGCCTCGGAGGAGCTTTGGAGAGGGCTTAGTCACTTAGTCCAGGAGCAGAAGAGAATAGAAGGTGTCCGCCCCCTGGGCGTCCGGGGGCGGCCTGGAGGAGCTGGTGAACTCTTCCAGGGCAGGGCAGAGCCTGGCACGGACATCCGTGTGGGTGACAGGGCAGTGGGCGTTGCAATCCCACTTCCTGTCTTCGAGTCAGTCCCAGTTGACGCTTCTGTAAAATGAGGACGTGCCTGAGGTTGTAGGGATCAGATCGGATGAACGCATGTCAGGCCACAGATCCAGTTGGCTGGTGTCCCTCAGGTGTGGGCAGCTGCTCCAGAGTGCCCGAACACAGACCCCCGGCCCATCCTGATTACTTCCCCGTCTTTTCCCGCAGGTGGCAGCTGCCAACAAGAAGCATTAGAACAAATGCTGGGTCAATAAATTGCCTCGTTCGTAATCCTGGTCTGGGTCTCTGACTGGCTCTCCCCTTCCATTGCGGGGCAGGAGGAAGGAGCACTGCACGGCCCTTCTTCCCTCGTGAGAGGGGGGACATGGGGGGCTGTGGCACCAAGAGCCACTAGAGCCTGAGGCCCAGCCTTCCCAACTGAAGCCCTTCTACCCCTAGCGGGCCCTGTGCCCCAGCTGGGCTGGTGGTTGGGTGGGGCCGGGACCTGGAGGCTCTCGCCCCTCCCCCCACATCCTGCCTTTGCAGTTCTCAGTAAGATGAGAAACCGAAAAGAGTGGCTGTTGAAGCGGTGGCCCCAGTTGGGGCCTGCACTGCAGAGGTGGTTCTCTGTCCCCTGCTGGAACAAAGCGGGAGGGGCAAGTGGCTTCTTCCCCAAAGGAGGTAGACTTGGGACAGCCAGCTTTCACTCCTGGTGGCTCCTTGAGGGTCCCTGGTGTGCACCTTCTGGAGCTAGTTATTCCTGCCCGGAGTTGGGATGCGGTGCCACTTCCCACACCCACCACTGCCCGCAGGGAGGGTTGTGTGAGGCTCCTGCGCGGAGGTTGGGCTGGGCCGTCGGGCGGCACCGCCTCTACGGTCCTGCATGGCAGTTGGCGCTCGGTGCAGCTGGGGTGGGAGCTCTGAAGGGCACCAAGTGGGCATGTGCCAGACCTCAGGAAGCTGAGCCTGGAGAATTGGCCCCATGCTTCCAAACCCACCTCCTCGGGGAACACGAAGCAGAGCCTGAGCTGGCTCGGCCAAGTCTCCCGATTTCCCCCAGCCCAAGTTATTGGACCCATTTACTTCCAGTGCGAAGCCTGGGCTTTGAACTCAAGTGACTCGTTTTCAATAACCTTCCAGCTCTGACCCTAATTCTCTGCAATCCTGAGCAACTTACTCCCCCTTTGAGCCCTCCGCTGCTTGTCTGTGTCACTCCTGAGGGACCTGCAGAGTCACCATATCAATAGTGTCTTGGCTCAGAGCAGTGCACCAAGCACACGACCAGTTACTTGGTGTTCAGGATGGAAAAAATCAAACCAGAGTCCCACATCCAGTGGGGAATGAAGCTGTCATCCCTCCCAGCTCCAGCTCAGAAGTTTGTGTTCCATAAACAGCCTATCACGTGCAAGGCACTTAATAAATATATCACTTAATGCAACTAGGCAACCCTGTGAAGGTGCCCAAGAGCACCCGCATTTTGGGTATAGGGAAAGTAAGTCACAGGTTGGGTCGTTTGCCCATGTACCACAACGAGGGGGTGGCAAAGCTGGAATTTGAACTTGGGTGAGTAGGCTCTAGCCACTGCAGCTCATTGCCCCATGGAAGTAAGGGAAATGGAAAAACAAGGCCTGAAGGGTTACGTGCCTGGGCATGGCCTTGGGCCAGTCACTCCCTCCCTGTTCTGGGCTCCGGTTTCCTTTTTTGTCAACTGAGGAAGAAGACGTCTTGGAGTGGACATGCGAACGCAAGGCAGCAAGGCCCAGGACCTTGTCGGCAGACACCCGCAGTGCTGGCTAAGTGGCTGGTGGGTGGTGTCCCTGCAGGCCGGTCTGGCCTGAGGGCCTGCAATCCAGCAGCTGTGCCTCTGCGGCCACTGGGGGGCAGGCGAGGGCCTGGAAACCGCCTCAGCAGATGGAGGCGAATTCTAGGGCTGCACTATCTGAGCCCAGGGCTTCTTCCTAGGTGGGGGGTCATAAGGAGGAACTAAAGCACGGAGGGGCTGGTGACCTGCTATACAGCAAGGGTCGCAACAGAACACCTGGGTCGCCGGAGGGAAGGGAACGGGGGAGGGCCCCCAGGCCAGAGAGGGGGAACTGTGTCCTTGCAGCCTCACGAGGGGCACAAGGGTGGCCGAGAGCCCAGATTAGCAGAGAAGAAACTGAGGCCCAGACACCCAGTCGGCTGACAGAGCGGAGATGCAAACACAGGAATCACGAACTCTTGAGGCCCATGCTCCTCTGTGTGGGTGACAGTTGCATTTTGGTTTTTTAATTATGAAATGCTTCAAGCGTGCAAAATAGCATACCTATTAGTGTAAGAAAGACCCGTGGACCCGCTACCCAGCTTAAGAAGTAAAACAAGACCTAAAGCCGATACAGGCAAAGCCCTCCTCCCGTCCCCCAGAGGGAACCCCTCTCGGGAATTGGGTGTCACTCACCTGCATGGGTTCACACCTCCACTACGGAGGCACGTCCCTAACGGCACCCGATGTTTCGCCTTTTGAAAACAAGTCAACTGTTGCACGCTGCATGTGTTGTGTCATTTTCATGTCATTTCTGAGACGCAGCTGGGTTGACGAGTAGAGCTCCGTCTTTTCGCCTGCGGAGTACTTTACTGGCCTCCCACGTCACCCCATGTGCATCCCGTTCTCCCGCACATGGACTTTTTGTTTCCGCTTTTGCTACCAAAAATCGCCCTGCGGTGAATTTTTTCCCTGTGTGTCTCCTTGTGTGCACATGTGATGGTCCCCTAACTGCTCACAAACCTCTCAACAATCTCCTGTGACTCCTCAGACTCTGTTTCCTTCCACGTGACCTAAAATGCTTCCCAACGGCAGGTGGGCACACACAAGTGACTGAATCTCTGCTCCACCACTCCCAAGCTGTGTTACACCCGGCGAGTGATGGCATCTCTCTGGGCCTGTTTTTCTGTAAAATGGCGGGTGGCCTACCTTGCCCACTTGTGGGGAGGCTGACTCACGTCAAGAGCCCATCGTGGCTCTCACTCCTCGGGTGCTGGGAACAGCATCTCATGGCACAACACTGGGGAGATATTCTTATGCTCATCGCTCAGATGAAAAATGCCAAGGCTGGGGGCGCCCGGCTGGCCAAGTCAGTAGAGCGTGTGACCCTTGACCTCGGGGTTGTGAGTTTGAGCCCCACATTGAGAGTAGAGATTACAATTTAAAAAAAAAAAAAAAATTTTTTTTGGGCGCCTGGGTGGCTCAGTTGGTTAAGCGACTGCCTTCGGCTCAGGTCATGATCCTGGAGTCCCGGGATCGAGTCCCGCATCAGGCTCCCTGCTCGGCAGGGAGCCTGCTTCTGCCTCTGACCCTCCCCCCTCTCATGTGCTCTCTCTCATTCTCTCGGTCTCAAATAAATAATAAAATAAAAATAAATAAATAAATAAAAAATAAAAAAAAATTTTTTTAATGCCAAGGCTCAGAATAGGAAGCCCCCACCTAGTCATAGAGCTGGTCGACCTGCCCCATTTATTCGTCCTGAGCATTAATAGGAGCCACGTTTTACTGAGCACCTACTTACTATGGGCTGGGCCCTGTGTTCAGAACTTTGCATGCACAACCCCTTTAAATCCTGGATTCTGACGCCAAGAAGGGAGGACATGGAGGCTCAGAGAGGAGATGAGCTTTGCCTAAGGCCGGTGAGGAGTGGAGAGCAGGCTCAGAACCACCACCCGGACAGACCATCTGCGGGCACAGGCACTTCGAACTCTGGCTCCCTCGGGCTTCCGTCCCAGGGCTGGCCGGTGCCGAGCCAGGCCTTGAACTGGTCTCTTTCCCCCACCAGCAGCCTCCCCCCAGGGGAATTGTGGCCACAGGTGCAGGGAGCAGTTTCTCTCCACTGCGGGCCTGAAGCACACAGGCAGGGGCTGCCCCCGGGGCCCACAGCTGAAGGAGGACCCGGCAGTGGGGCCATTGGAGCCCATCTCCGGCAGGACTGGGCAGGAAGTAGGGCGGGGTTAGCCGAGGTGGAATCTGGTACCCCAGGACTGCTGCGACCCAGACTAACCAACCCACTGGGAGAGATGCCTGGGGGTCCCGGAGTCCTCCAAGCGCTGCGCGCCACCATCTTTCTCCTCTTCCTAATCTCTGCTGTTGGCCTGGGTACGTGGCTAACAGGCTGGTGCTGGGGGTTGGGGGGTGGCGGGGCAGGGAGGACTGAGGAGGCTGGAGAGAAGGCAGAGGCAGAGAGAAAGGCACTGCCCAGGGGGTGAGGAGCCAGCAGGTGTGTGTGTGGAGTGGGGGGGGGGTGCAGTGCTGGGAAAGCCCTTGAAGAAACTGCATCCACCTGCTTGACCGTCCCAAGCAGGCCGCAGGTCCGAGGGGAGGCCGGAGGGGGCTCAGCAAAGTTGAAGGGGCGTCTACAGCCACATGGAAGGAGACAGGGGCAACAGACGACTTCCCCACCCCCCTCAACGCCACAGGTCAAAATAAGGAACTAAGGTTGCCCTTGACTGAGCTCCAGAGCTAGGGGCAGGAAGGGGACTTGGGGAGCGGCGCTCAGCTTCAGAGAGAAGAAACAGCTTTCTCCTTCTCTGCCTTGAATCTCAGTCACCCCACTGCGTCGGGAGCCCCTTTTCAGTGCTGGGGAAGGGGGCACCTCATCAACACTGCCCTCCAGGCTGCCCCACCCCTACCCCAAGCAATACCAGCTGGTGGGGCTGTGACCCTGAGGTTGCTGCTTCTTTCCCCACCTCTTCCTCCTCCTCTCTTCCTCACCTCCCAACTCCTCCCTCCAGAAGAGGCTGAGCCAGCCTTGTGGGCTGGCCTGGGGGGCTGGAAGCTGGGGTTTCCCCAGCAGCCAACCCACTTTGCCGAGGCCCTCCCCTAACCCCAGCGCAGCCGCCAACTGAACTCACTCCTGACCCAGGTTGACACAAGCAGAGAATGAGGGGTGAGCCTGAGATCACAGGGCAAGGCAGGCCCCAAGGCTCAGGGTTTGGAACGCCAGCCACTTTTGCTGCCCTGGTGTGCCAGGCAACCAATCTGCCCTCCCTGGGCCTCAGCTGTCCCACCTATAAAATGGGACAATGAGAGAACTTACCTCTAAGGCTTTTGTGAAGATTACACCAGCTAAAGTACCAGGTGCCAGGCAGGGCTGAGGGTGGGAAGGTGAGCCTGGAGGCCTTCAGGAGGAGGTGATGCCCAAACTGATTATGGACGGCGCTCCCTGGACAGGGCCCTTCTACCATTAGGAAGCCAAGTATCCAAACACCTGTGAGTTCAGTGGGGCCAAAGCACAGAGCGCAGGTGGGGAGGGTGGCGAGAGGTGGCGCTGGAGAGGTGAGTGGGGGACCCGCAGGGGTGTGTCCCCACGCCAGGGTGTCTTACCCTCCTCCCCCAGGATGTTCTCCTCCCCCACGGGTGTGCCCTCTCTCTGTTCCCCTCGGTACTACCATACTACTCTCCCCCCAGCGGCAGCCTCACTCCCAACACTGTATGCCCCCTCCCCCACCCCACCTTCTTCCCCAGGAGTGTCCTCAACCCCCACCCCCACCCTACGCACCCCAGGGTGTTGCCATTGCGGTGGGGGGGGCGCCAGGGCTGGGGCCTGTGTCCCCACCCGCAGTCCCCGACTCCTCCGCCTCTCCGCAGGCCCCGGGTGCCAGGCCCTGTGGGTGGACGGGGGCCCGCCCTCGGTGACCGTGAACCTGGGCGAAACGGCCGAGCTGCAGTGTTTGCACAACGGCAGCAAGCCCGACAGCATCCTCAACGTCACCTGGTGGCGCGTCATCCAAGGCAATGGCACCTGGCCCGACATGTTCTGGAGCTATGGCCAAAAGCCCCACGGTGAGCTGACCATCCACATGGTGAACAAGAGCCACATAGGCATGTTCAGGTGCCAGGTGGAGGAGAAAAGCCCCAGCCATAAAGTCCTCAGCTTCCAGCAGTCCTGCGGCACCTACCTCCGCGTGCGCGGTGAGTGCCGGCCCCGGGCATCCAGGGCACCCATCGTGGGCATCCCCGCTCCCAGCTCACACACGCTGCGGGGGCGGGGGGGGTCTTCAAGGGGTCTCGGCCTTGCCGGGGGCAGGGCTGGGAAGCCAGGAGGGCAGGAGACACCTGTGCTCTGAGCAGCACCCCCTCCTCACAGAGCGGCTCCCCAGACCCTTCCTGGACATGGGAGAGGCCACCAAGAACAACATCATCACAGCCGAGGGCATCATCCTGCTCTTCTGCGCCGTGGTGCCTGGGACCCTGCTGTTGTTCAGGGTGAGCCCCTGGGGACCCGGGCCCTCCGAGGCTGAGGTCCCCTCCTAAAATGGGAGCGTGACAGCACCCTCACAGGGCTGAGGGGCACATGAATTCGTACCATGACAGGATTTTAAAGGGTGCGTGGCCCAGAAGGGCATCCTTGCTCAGTCTCCCCTCGGGGTTGTCCTCCCTCCTCCCACCCCCCAGGTATACCTCACTCTCCCCCCACCCCAGCCCTGGTGTCTCACTCTAACCCCCCCAACCGGGAGTGCAGTGGCCCTCCAGATGTAGCCAGGGAAGATGGGGGCTGGCTGTCCTCCCGGAGCCTCTGACCTGCAACAGCCCCGCCTTAGGCCATGGGACTGCCACTGCCATTTCTGTGAGAGCTGTTATTCGTGCAAGAGCAATAAGGCAGGGACCCAGAGACACCTGCCACTCACCCGCGGTGTGGCTTTGGGTGCGTCCCTTACCCCCTCTGGTAAAGCACCTCTCCGGCATCCAGGAGGTTTGTTCGGAAAACATATTCTCCCCCTACACCCCCTCACTGAGGCTCCCAATCCCCCCTCCTCCCAGAAACGATGGCAGAACATGAAGTTTGGGGTGGACACGCAGGATGACTATGAAGATGAAAACCTTTATGAGGTGAGTGGTGGGTGGGGACAGGTGCATTGGGGTTCTCGTGGGGGTCCTCCCTGGAGTCGTCTGGGGGCAGGGGTCTGGGCGTCAGGGCGCTGAGCTCCCCCCCACCACGTGTTCACCCCAGGGCCTGAACCTGGATGACTGCTCCATGTACGAGGACATCTCCCGAGGCCTCCAGGGCACCTACCAGGACGTGGGCAGCCTCCACATTGGAGACGGGGACGTCCAGCTGGAGAAGCCGTGACCCTGTGGGCTGCCCCCAGGCAGATGTGCTGCGAGCTCTGGTGTCCCCCCACCCCTTCCTGTTCTCTTTTCATAATCTTTCCCCCCCACGAGTGTCCTGACTGAACTTCCCCCTTGAGTGTGTCTGCTCTTCTTCCCTCTAGACTGTCCTCATCCCCTGCACACACCCCAATTCAGCCCTCCTCCTGCTGCTTTTCCCAGCCTCCCCCCACACCCAGCGGGTAATGAGCCCTTAATCGCTGCCTCTAGGGGAGCTGATTGTAGATCCTCCGTGTCACCTCCCCCTCCCTGCTCTGTCATGGCCACTTAGTGATAATAAATCCTTCCCAACTGCAGACCTTGGCAGGAGTCATGGATCTCATGGGGATGCTCCCCTCCTCTGGTGGGACCCAGGAGTCCAGGCCCCTGGCCTCCTTCTCTTTCAGACCCAGGATCCCGCTCCCACCCCCCACCCCCCGCCCACTCCCTGCACCTGGGGGCCAGGTAGCCAGAGAGAAATAGGAAGTGTTTGGGGAAGCATCTCACCCTAGGCTATGTTCCTGAGCAGGGAGGGGACACAGAAAGGAGCCAGGTGACCATATTTATTTATGCCTATTTCAGTCCCACAAACACAGGCGCCTGTCTGGTGGGGCTGGTACCCGATTCTGACTACAGCCAGGCCACACCTATTATTCTCTGGGAAAGGACTTGCAGCAGGAGCATCTGGAGAATCTGTGGCTCTCGTCTGGGGATGGGGGGGAGCCCTGGGGGGCACAGGGACGCAGGGTTTCTGGGAGAGAGACCGAGACACAGAGAGATAGTGATGGAGACACAGAGCAAGTGAAGAGAAAGACAATGACAGAGATACGGGGACAGAGAGAAAGCAGGAGAGAGAGAAAGGAAAGAAGGCTCCATAGAAAAATGGACACGGAGAGGCCGACCCCTGGGACTCTAGAGAAAGCAATGGTTGGGGAAATGACCGCGGTGGCCATGCAGAAAGATACAGAGACCCGGAGAGGGGAAGACAAGAGATGCGACAGAGGGGAGGGACAGTGCGGAGAAGCAGGGGCCCGGGAGCGGGAGGAAAAGACCCCCCCACGGAGCAAGGAGCGACGACAGAGGGGCAGACAGAGAGGCACGCGGACAGAAACACGCACAGCGAGGCAAAGGAGGAGAGGAAGACCAAGAGACCCAGACGGAAAGCAGGGGAGGCTGTGGCGAGCCGGCCCCCACGCCGCCGCGGAGGCGATGGCGGACACCCGGCAGAGGCGAGAAACGTGGAGCCCGCGGTCCGCGGACAGACAGACGGACAAAGCCGGGAGGAGCCGGGCGGGGCCGGGGCGGGGCCGGGGCCGCGGGTCCCCCGCCAGGCGGGGAAAGGAGGGGCCGGGCGGGCGGCGAGAAGGGGAAGGAAGCGGAGGTGCCGGGCGGGCGCGGGGCGCGGGCAGGAAGCGGGGAGGGGCGGCGGGGCGGGGGCCTCCGGAAAAACGCCCGAACTTCCTGCCCCGCCAGAGCCAGGAAGCGGGAGCCGGGACGCAGGGCCCGGGATCGCCGAGCCCGACCTCGGGCGCCCCGCCGGTCACGTCCCCGCGCGGACTCCAGGTACACTGTCCCTGGCCCCGCCCGGCCTCCCGCCCGGCCTCCCGCCCCTCGGCTGCCAGGGGAAGTGAAGAGGAGGAGGGAGAGGGCGGGGGCGCTGCCGGCGGTGCAGGGGCCTCAGAGCCGGCGGCCGCCCCTCCCCGGGCCTCAGTTTTCCCATCTGTCAAAGGGGGCAAAGAGAGGAGAACTAATACCTGCCGAGTGCCCAGTAAGTGGGGATGAGGGGTGCGAGGCCGGGGTCGAGGCCTCCCAACTGTCCAGCGGAGGACGGATGGTCACTCCCATTGTACGGGTGGGGAAACTGAGGCTCAGGGAGCGGAACCGACTCGTCCCAGGGTACACACACCGTGAGACCGAGTGGAGTTGGGATTTGAACTTGCAGGTGCTTTCAAGCACCGTCCTCCAACCCCACATGCTTTAGGGCCACCGATAAAGAAAAACGTCAATCACCACGCCGTGGGCCGCCGTGAAGCTGGAAGTTGCGGAGCGCGCTTGAGAGCATTTTTTGGAAAGCTCTTTTTCTGGGCCATTAATTATAGCTTGAGAGATGGGTTGTAGGGGACAGAACTGGAGATCTTCCCCCATTGTACAGGTGGGAAGACTGAGGCTCGGAAAGAAAGAATTGCTTTTTCTAGGTTACACGGCTTGTCCGCGGGAAAGGTACGCTGGAACCCAGGAGTTTTGCTTTACAGCCCCAGCACAAAGTGTGCGCCCGGGGCGGTGGGGGTGCCGGGAAAACTAGTGTACGCCTTGGAAATTCAGCTGTTTCCGGAGTTAGGAAAGCAAGATAGGGTGGGGAACCCAGGCCGGAGACTAAGGGCCAGGGGCGAGTCGGAGACGTCGGATTGAGCCCTGGGTCGGGGGGCTGGAACCACTCTGTAGTGGGGCTGGGGGGCGGGGGCGGGGGGCGGGGCACAGTAGAGTGACAAGGGCAGTCGAGATACGGAAACGCCAGCCCTCCAAGGCAGGCCAGAGTGGCCCTTTCTGGCCAGCGTGGCGCCGTGGAGAGCTAGAGCGGCCGGCGGGAGGAGTAGAGTCGCTCGGGCAAGAACCAGGCAGCAGCCAGGCTAGAGCGGCTGGCGGGAGGAGTGGAGCTGGAAGCAAAGGTAGACGCTGGGGCAGCTAGAGCGACTGGGAGGCGGGGGTGGGGGGGGACCCCGGAGCCGGCGCGCAGAGGCTTCGGTTCTGGCGGCTGCGGTGGGTTCTCCTACGACCAGGAGCAGGTGAGGGATGCGGCCCCCGGCGGGCGTCAGACCCTGACTCCGCAGGTCCGCCCCATCATCCCTGGCCGTGCGCACCGCCACGTCCCGTGTAGTAGGATTTGGGGCCCGTGTAGACCCGCCACGTCCCACGTAGGATTTGGGGCTGGTGTAGATGCGCCACGTTCCGTATAAATTACAAGGGCCTATAGACCCACCAGCTTCCTGCTAGTACCCCCGCCACGGAAACTCGGCTTCTTATAGATGTGAGGTCCCCATCGGTCAGTGGCACCCCCTAGAATCCTGGGCCCTGTAGATCCTGGGTCTTGGGATCACCACATACTCCTGTAGAATTCTGCTCCCGTTTTAAGTCTCCACAGGTCCCGCAGACTGGCTGCTTTACATATGGAATCATGACCCGGTGTGCTTCTCAGCTCCGAGTAGATCCACCTGTTTGAACTTACCAACAGAATAGAATCTGGAGCCTTATACATTCCAAGGGCCCCTCGTGGACTTACCTTGACTACTCTGTATTTTAAGTTCTTTAAGGCTCCCGGAGGTTCTTGGAGACCAGGGTCATCCACTCAGTGTCTTATAGACCCCGAACCTTGCATAGAATCCAGGCGCCCATGTAGTCCCCGACTGGTGCCTGCTTTGCTCTAGGACCTCACCTCTCTAAGAACCTTCTAAACCTTCCCTGACCACCACCACCCCCAGTCCCATGCACACAGTGTCCCCTCTGCTGGGCCTAGGCCTTTTCAGTTGCCTACAGATCCATCTGACAGCTTCAGCGTATGATTACTCTTTGTGGTACCCCCTCACCGTCTATCTCCTAAGCAGCCAACCCCCCACCTTCCCTTCCAGAATGCTCTCTTGAGCCCTAAGCCTCTGTGGAGCAGCCTGAGCAGCAACCTGCACTTCTGCCTAAGTCACAGTGCCCACACACCCCTGACTTTCCCAGACACCAGCTTTGGTTCAGATTTTAGTTTCCTAAGGTTGGGGTGGGGGTTCCCCAATGCTCTGAAGCAGCACATTCTGATAGATTTAACTATCATAACTATTTTGGAAAGCTCTTTTTCTGGGCCAGCATAAACTGGAGCCAGACTGCTTGGGTCTGAATCCTGGCTCTGTCTCTGATGAGCTGTGCTTCAGTTTCCTCTTCCGAAAAATGAAGGTAGTTATAAAACTGACCCCCAGGAGTCATTTAGAGGATTAAATGAGTTAATACCTGTAAAGCAGTAATATTATGCTTGCTACATACTTAATAGCACGTATTAAATGTTAGCTACTGTTTCGTGTTTCCGTGATGAGGAATGAAGGAGATAATATGTATCATAGTGCGTGATTCGGGGCCTGCCTGGCACTGAGCATTTGCTCACATACCGTGTGTCCTCTCCTTTGCGCTTTTTGGAATCTCCCTGCCTCTGTTGAGCCCCACCCCCCGCCCCAAGTGGGGTGAGCATGGACCTTCCATGTGCGCAGTCATGTTTTCCAGCCCAGAAGTTGCAGCTGGTGGCCTGGTGAAGGTTTTCCATCTCGAATGGGAATACTAATCGCATGGGGTGCTTGTGGTTGTGAGCGTTAAGTGAGTTCAGATGTGAAGTACTTGGAGCAATGCCTAGCACACTGTAAGTGCTAGGTAGGTTTAGCTTTTGTAATAATCACTTTTTTTTTTTTTGGCGTCAGTTTGCAAGTTTATTTACGTGAAGATTTAACAGTGCTCAAATCTTAAATTACCTAAGCTTGAAGTTGGACAGAGACACTCTATGGAAGAGAATAAAAATGTCGTGTGCTCTGGGGAACCCATGGGATGGCACAGGGACACTCCAGAAAGCATCATTGTTTCATGGTCATAATCAAAATCATAACCATCATTTATTGAGTGCTAGGGAGGAGGCCTGTGGAGGAGGCAGAAGGGTGAGTCTCAGGCAACCAGGGTTATAAATAGCTTTGGGTTGTGGGGCGAGCCCCCACCCCACCCCACTGGTCCACCCCACCCCATCTCCACAGCTCCTTCCCGCCTGACACGGGCTCTCGTGGCATTAGTCAGGCTAATTAAAGACACAGAAGAGGGTGGTTGGAAGACTCAGGGGGAAGCGGAGACTCTAAGGGAGACAAGATGGGAGAGCCAGCAAGAGATGGGGGAGAGAGAGAGAGAGAGATGAGGGACAGCACATGACACAGTGACTCGAGAGGACTCAGGTGGCCGCAGAACCAGATGTGGGAAGACAGGCAGAAACACTGACAGAGGGGGAAGACAGCGACAGAAGCAGGGTTAGGACAGAAGCAGGGTTAGGGCGAGGTGGCTGAGGGGGAGGGGAGGCAGTGCTGGTGGGAAAGTGAGACAGGTCTGAAGGGAGGGAGAGAGGGAAGGAGACAGGGAGAAGAGAGGCAAAGACCTAAGGCACATTCAAGGGACAGACAGCAAGAGAGAGCTGGCTGGGGAGGGAAAGCCAGCGGGACAGACGGATGCAGGGCAAGGAAGACAGACACACCTTGGGGATGAGCTGGCTGAGGACCGAACCTTATTTTCTGGGATTGGAAGAGGGGGAAGATACCAGGTCCCTGAGGGAAAGCAACTTACGGGTTTAGGGAAGGAGGTTCAGAGTTTTGTTTTCTTATGTGGGGAGAGTTGGGGGGTTGGGGGATTTGCCTTTAGATTTCCTGTCACAGGAAGTGGGGCTGGTGGGTTCAGAGGCAACATCCGGCCCCAAGCCTGTCAGGTCTAGGAGAGCCCCCCCACACCCCACTTATCTCCTTTCTGCCTTTCCTTTAACCTTCCCAACTCTGCTAGCCTCCAGGCCCTGCCTCCCTAGGACCCAGCCTGCAGCACCCTCCTCCCTCGGACCCAGGAGTCCAGGCCCCCCACCTCTCCTTCCTCAGATCCAACCTGCAGCCCAGTCCTCTCTTAGACCCAGGAGTCCAGACCCCCAGCCCCTCCTCCCTCAGACAAGGGGTCCAGACCCCCAGCCCCTCCCTCAGACCAGGGGTCCAGACTCCCAGTCCCTCCTCCCTCAGACTCAGGAGTCCAGGACCCCAGCCCCTCTTGCCTCAGACCCAAGAGTCCAGACTCCCAGTCCCTCTGCCCTCAGACCCAGGAGTCCAGGCCCCCAGCCCCTCCTGCCTCAGACCCAAGAACCCAGGCCCCCAGCCCCTCCTGCCTCAGACCCAAGAGTCCAGACTCCCAGTCCCTCCTCCCTCAGACCCAGGAGTCCAGACTCCCAGCCCCTCCTCCCTCAGACCAGGGGTCCAGACTCCCAGCCCCCTCCTCCCTCAGACCCAAGAGTCAAGGCCCTCAGACCCAGGAGTCCAGACCCCCAGCCCCTCCTCCCTCAGACCCAGGAGTCCAGGCCCCCAGCCTTCCTCCCTCAGACAAGGGGTCCAGACTCCCAGTCCCTCCTCCCTCAGACCCAGGAGTCCAGACCCCCAGCCCTCCTGCCTCAGATCCAAGAGTCCAGGCCCCCAGCCCCTCCTGCCTCAGACCCAACAGTCCAGACTCCCACTCCCTCCTCCCTCAGACCCAGGAGTCCAGACCCCAGCCCCTCCTCCCTCAGACCCAGGGGTCCAGACTCCCAGCCCCTCCACCCTCAGACCCAGGAGTCCAGATCCCCAGCCCCTCCTCCCTCAGACAAGGGGTCCAGACTCCCAGTTCCTCCGCCCTCAGACCCAGGAGTCCAGACCCCCAGCCCCATCCTGCTTCAGACCCAAGAGTCCAGGCCCCCAGCCCCTCCTGCCTCAGACCCAAGAGTCCAGGCCCCCAGCCCCTCCTGCCTCAGACCCAGGAGTCCAGACCCCCAGCCCTCCTGCCTCAGATCCAAGAGTCCAGGCCCCCAGCCCCTCCTGCCTCAGACCCAAGAGTCCAGACTCCCACTCCCTCCTAGGACCCTCAGACCCAGGAGTCCAGACCCCCAGCCCCTCCTCCCTCAGACCAGGGGTCCAGACTCCCAGTCCCTCCTCCCTCAGACCCAGGAGTCCAGACCCCCAGCCCCTCCTCCCTCAGACCCAGGAGTCCAGACTCCCAGCCCCTCCTCCCTCAGACCCAGGAGTCCAGATCCCCAGCCCCTCCTCCCTCAGACCAGGAGTCCAGACTCCCAGTTCCTCCTCCCTCAGACCCAAGAGTCCAGGCCCCCAGCCCCTCCCGCCTCAGACCCAGGAGTCCAGGCCCCCAGCCCCATCCTGACTCAGACCCAAGAGTCCAGGCCCCCGGCCCCTCCTGCCTCAGACCCAAGAGTCCAGACTCCCACTCCCTCCTAGGACCCTTAGACCCAGGAGTCCAGACCCCCAGCCCCTCCTCCCTCAGACCAGGGGTCCAGACTCCCAGCCCCTCCTCCGTCAGACCCAGGAGTCCAGACCCGCAGCCCCTCCTCCCTCAGATCAGGGGTCCAGAGTCCCAGTCCCTCTGCCCTCAGACCCAAGGGTCCAGGCCCCCAGCCCCTCCTGCCTCAGACCCAAGAACCCAGGCCCCCAGCCCCTCCTGCCTCAGACCCAAGAGTCCAGACTCCCAGTCCTCTGCCCTCAGACCCAGGAGTCCAGACTCCCAGCCCCCTCCTCCCTCAGACCCAGGAGTCTAGGCCCCCGGCCTCTTCTTCCTCAGACCCAAGACCCAGCCTGCAGCCCCCTCCTCCCTCAGACCCAGGAGTCCAGGCCTCCAGCCCCTCCTGCCTCAGACCCAGGAGTCCAGACCCCCAGCCCTTCCTCCCTCAGACCCAGGAGTCTAGGCCCCCGGCCTTTTCTTCCTCAGACCCAAGATCCAGCCTGCAGCTCCCTCCTTCAGACCCAGGAGTCCAGACTCCCAGCCCCTCCTGCCTCAGACCAAGGGGTCCAGATCCCCAGCCCCTCCTGCCTCAGACCCAGGAATCCAGACCCCCAGCCCTTCCTCCCTCAGACCCAGGAGTCCAGACCCCAGCCCCTCCTCCCTCAGACCCAGGAGTCCAGACCCCCGGCCCCTCCTCCCTCAGACCCAGGAGTCTAGGCCCCCGGCCTCTTCTTCCTCAGACCCAAGACCTAACCTGCAGCCCCCTCCTCCCTCAGACCCAGGAGTCTACACTCCCAGCCCCTTCCTCCCTCAGACCCGGGAGTCCAGACTCCCAGCCCCCTCCTCCCTCAGACCCAGGAGTCCCCAGCCCATCCTCCATTAGAGACCCCAAATTACAGGCTTTCATGGCCACAGTTTTCTTATGGACACAGGCTCCTGGGCCTCCATCGCTTCTCCCACCCCTCCCAAGGCTCCCTGTCCTTGGGCTCCCCGCCCTGGCTGGCCTCTGAAGGGCTCTTTGTCGCCACACAGAGGCCCCATTGAGCTGCGGAGGAGGCTGGGATTGGGGGGGGGGAGGCTGTTTACACACCTTCACACCTGGGCCAGGAATCTGTGAGTAACGGCCCTGTGCCACCACCTCCTGCCCCCACTAACCGTGGCCCCTCCTCCTCCCCAGCCCTGTGGAGCCCATGGAGGCAGAGGACATCACCCGCGGGCTGGTGAGTGGAGAGTGCCTGGGGGGAGGAGACTGGGGGGCTGCAAGGTGGGATTGCACCCTGAGCTGAAGCCATCCCTCCTCTTCCACAGGCCCCAGGACCACCGCGGCCTGGCCTGGTGCCAGTCAGCATCATCGGGGCTGAGGACGAGGATTTTGAGAACGAGCTGGAGACGGTGAGGGGGAGATGGCGGGGAGAAGCTTCTGTCCCAGTCTCCCTGGGCCCCAGCCCTCAAGTCCCATCCTAGGTGTCCCCTCCCTCCTTAGGTCCATCGTGGGGTGCTGCCCCCTGCCTCCTCTCACTGCCCATTCCTCTTTCTGTAATCTGGGTACCACCATCCTCATCTCCTCCTACCCCATTCTTGATGCCCCATTATAGCGCAGACTCCCACCCTTTTTACTCTAATCCTGGGTTTTATCACCGCCCCCCTTAATTACAGCACAGATCCCTACTCCCTCTCATGCCTGTCCTCATCACCCGCCATTATAACGTTAAATCTCAGCCACTATCCCTGACCCCAGCCCCGGCCACCGCCATTACGGCGCAGACTCTGCTGCCAGGGAGGGGAAGGGTCAAGCCCAAAGCCCTTCCCCTGCTCCCCACTGTCTCACTCCCCCTCCCCGCTCTCAGAACACAGAGGAACAAAACAGCCAGTTCCAGAGCCTGGAGCAGGTGAAGCGGCGGCCTGCCCACCTCATGGCGCTCTTGCAGCACGTGGCCCTGCAGTTTGAACCCGGACCCCTGGTGAGGGCAGGGCTGTGTGGGCAGAGGGAGGGGTGGGGCCGGGACAGGCCACAGTGCTCAGTGAGATAGACCAGTGAAGACAAGCTGGGAGGGTTGGAAAACAGATCCAGAACCCACAGCACAAGATCTAGAAAGCGAGAGCCAGAGCGCTAGCTAGCCATGTGACCCAGGCAAGATTGCAGGTGCCCCGTGGAAATCTCCGTGAGGAGCCAGTGCAGGGGGGGAGAGTGCTCACAGCAGGGTCATGCAGAGAACAAGAGAGAATCCAGAAGCCAGCAGAGACCATGCCGCCCAGCCTCCTTCCCTGCCTGTGGCTGTGTCACCCATCCATGACCCTGGAAGTAGAATCCTCCTCTGTGGCCTCGGCAGGTGCCACCAGTCCATCTTTCAGGGCTAGGGCATGGGAGGAAACCACTAGCCTTCCCAGGTCTAGCTGGCCCAGAAACAAGAAACACCCGCAAGCAGCGCAATAAGGCAGAGCGAGCATAATTCATGATCCACAGATACAGGCAGAAAATACCCAGGCCCCCACAGATGCCAGCCCATGCTGCCTGGAGGCGCCTGCAGGGTGTAGAGAGCCCAGTGTGTGACTTAGGAAGAAAGAGGCCACTAAGTGGGTTGGAGGGGGGCGCTCTGTGGACAAGGCTGTCCTCCCAAGAAGACCCAGTGCGGCCCAGCACAGGCTGCAGTTAGGGTGTAACCCAGAGCACTGGACTGGACTGGAAATGCGTAGCGGGGCCCTCTGGAAACCAGACAGCGGTAGAGATGCCAGGGCGGGATGCCTGGGGGCTGCAAGAAGCTGGGGCGCATCGACTGACCCCGAAGCTTCAGAAATTGGCAGGAAATCGGGAAGGTGCCTTCTCTCCAGAAAAGTAGCTGCCCGTCCCCAGTGAATGGAGGCTGTGGCCGTCTGGGCAAAGAGGTCCCCTTGAGCCTGAGGTTTCTGGAACTCGAGCTCTTGGAACTCGGCCCAGGGAGGGTGCTGACTGCCGTGTCCTTTTACAGATGTGGAAACGGGCCTAGCCAGGGCCAGGGGCTTGGCTGAGGTGACCCGGATGGCCCCTGGCGTTTGGAATCTGGCCTCCTGCTGCCCCCTCACCTCATCAGCTAGGGAAGCAGCCACGAGATAGTTGTGGTCCCCTGGGCCGCTCCCTGTTGGCCTCTCATGAAGTTTTGTCGTGGAGTTTGGGGGTGTGCAGAGATTGGTTGAGAAATAGAGTCCTGCCCCTACCGAGGGGTGAGTCCTTAGCACGCAGACCAGGTCCCTTACCCGACGAGAGGCCCCAGGAGCCAAGACAGGCTCAGTTGGCAGCGCATTGCCAGCATCCCCCCACAAGGGGCTGACGCACAGGCGAGCTCAGGGAATGAGTGGTGAATGCACGAGTGAGCCCCGCTGGACCACCTGGTTATTTACCCAGCCCCCACTGCGCACGGGGCCTCTCTGGGGCACAGATGAGTCAGGACCTCGGTCTCTCTCTCACACACATGCTCAGGTTGCTTGTGGTAGTTCTAGGCTGTGGGCTGTAGGGGAACAGGCTGCCTGGATTCTAAATCCCAGCTTCGCCACTAACTAGCTGTGTGACCTGGGGCAAGCTTCTTGAGCTCAGTTTTCTCATCTGTCAAACGGGATAATGACAGTGCCCGTGATTGACCAGGTTAACGTGGGTCAAGGGTTTAGAACGGCACCTGGTCCGGGCCCCGCTTTCGCAGCGTAGCAGAAGATCGCAGGAAACCGAACCATAGCAAATGCTCACGGGGGCCCCCAGGGAGCCCGAGAGAGGCCAGGGCCTGGGGGTGGGGGTGGTGGAGACCAGGGAGCACTTAGTGGAGGCTTTGCAAGGCAGAGTGGGGTTTGGTTGGCGGGGGAGAGGACAGGCGGCGCTCTGTGTCCCCAGCTCTGCTGCCTGCACGCGGACATGCTGGCTTCTCTGGGCCCCAAGGAGGCCAAGAAGGCCTTCCTCGACTTCTACCATAGCTTCCTGGACAAGACCGCGGTGAGAGACACCTTCGAGGGGTTCCGGTTCCCTCACTCCTTGGTCCTGGGGGGGGCTCGGTGCCAGCTGGGCCCTCCCTCCACGGCTCCCTCCCCTCAGCCCATCATTCCTGGTGCGTGGTGACCCCATAACCACCTGGTCCTCCCCCTCCATTCTCTGTCCTGAGCAGGTCTTGCGGGTGCCGGTCCCTCCCACTGTCGCCTTTGAACTTGGTAAGGAGAGGGGAGAGGGACTGTGGGTAAGGGAGAGGTGTCTGGCCGGGGCTGGGGAGCCCCAGGATGGGAGGCCACACTCCCCTGCTCCCGTCCTTCCCCCAGCATGGCCATCGGGAGTCCGAGCGTGGGTGGAAGTGGCCCCCAGCCCCCTGCCCGTGTCCCCGCAGACCGCACGCGGCCCGACCTCCTCCCTGAGGACGTCCAGCGGCAGTTTGTGCAGGAGGTGGTGCAGAGCCAGCAGGCAGCCGTCAGCCGGCTGCTGGAGGACTTCCGCTCCAAGCGGCTCATGGGCATGACGCCCTGGGAGCATGACCTGACCCAGCTGGAGGCCTGGGTTGGGCGGGACCGTGCCAGCTTCGAGGCCCGGGAGCGGCACCTGGCCGAGCGGCTGCTGACCCACCTAGAGGAGATGCAGTGAGTGGGGCCTCCCCCTCCCCAGCCTGGGGGCAGTATGGGGGGGGGGTCCCTGCAGCTTCAGGGTTCATTCCTTACCCTTTGGGCTCTTCCCCTGACTTCTGGGTTCCCCAGCCCTGCCGTTTGTGATTCATCTGGTTTTGTGTTGTCTCTTCCCAACTTTGGGGCACCCTCCCAGTTTCCAGGGCTTTCCATGGTCTTGTGTTTGGGCCTGACGATTGGGTCCTGTCCTTGCGGCTCTGAGCTCACAAGTGACATTCCTCCCTGCTGCCATCTTCCATCCCTGTAGCCTTGGCCCTCTCCGCCTCTCCTCTCTCTCCTGTGCCCACTTCTAAGGGGACAGCACCCCGGACCTCTGTGCTGGGTAGACAGGGACCGAGGCTTAGCAAGTGTGTCAAAAACTCCTTTCTTCTTTTTGCAGACCCACCATCTCTACCGATGAGGAAAAGAGGTGATGACGGAAGCAGAGGGGATGGCAGGAGAGGCATTTAGTCCCCTGGGCCCCAGGGAGGAAGACCAGGGATCAGGGGCCTGGCCCTATCCCCCTTCCTCAGACACTCAGCTGGAAGCAGTTGTGGGGTTGGGGTGGGAAGCGAATGCAGAGGGGAAGACTTGGGGACAGCAGTGTCCCCATGGCCATGGGTGTGTGTGCATCTGCGCACATATTGGGGCCCTCACCGTCCCCTCCCCACAGTGCCGCTGTGGTCAACGCCATCAGCCTGTACATGCGTCACCTTGGGGTGCGGACCAAGAGCGGAGACAAGAAGTCGGGGAGGAATTTCTTCCGAAAAAAGGTGCTTTTCCCCTGAGCGCCCAGACCTGGCCCTTCCCTCCCCTAGAGGCCCCTGGGGAGCCCCGTGATTCGGGGCTCCTGAGGTCTGATTCTGCTTTGTTGGGGTCTCAGAGATGCATAGCCCCTTTTCCACTCTCCTTACTTCGCTCAGATGATGGGGAATCGGCGGTCAGATGAGCCAACCAAGACCAAGAAAGGCCTGAGCATCTTCCTGGACGCCGCCCGCTGGAACCGGGGAGAGCCTCAGGGTGAGGTGCCCGGCCTCTGCCCGCCCTGGCTTCCCCACACCACCCCCGCCTCATGGTCCCATCTCTCGTTTCAGCCCCCGATTTCCGACACCTCAAAGTCGAGGCTGATGGTAATGTCCTGAAGCTGGCTGGGGCTTGGGGGAGGGGGTGGGGGATGCTCCTGGGCTGTGGGGAGGATGGGGCTGGAGCACAGACTGCTGTGGATTAGAGGAGCTGGGCTCTCATTTCCCCCTGCTCCCTGGATGTCTCCCCAGCTGAGAAGCCAGGCCTTACGGAAAGGAGGGGAGGCCTGGGGGTGCCCTCCCGGGACCGGAATGTTGGGGCTCCTGGGCAGGATGTCCCTGGAGTTTCTCTGCACCCTCTGTCTGGAGACAGTCCCGACAAGGAACCAGGTGAGTTTCTTGAGCTCCCCACCCCAGCCCAAGAGACCACCGCTCAGTTCTCTGCTTGCCTCTCCCTGGTCACCAGTATTATTAAGAAACCACCCCCACCCCACCCCCCGGGGCACCTGGGTGTCTCAGTCGGTTAAGCCTCTGCCTTTGGCTCAGGTCATGATCCCAGGGTCCTGGGATCGAGCCCCACGTTGGGCTCGCTGCTCATCAGGAGCCTGCTTTTCCCTCTCCCTGTCGCTCCCCCTTGCTTGTACTCTCTGTCGAATAAGTAAATAAAATATTGAAAAAAAAGAAAAGAAACCACCCCCCTTCCCTCAGTTCACCCGTTCCACGGCTTTCCTCTCAGGCTCCGGCCTCCGTCCTGGTGATGCTTAGCCCTCCTCCTTGGACTACATTTCCCATCCGCCCCCACGGCATCATTTCCCAGAGCCCTCTCTGAGTACATTGTCAATCACCTCCATGAATCTGAGGCAACTGCTTGGCCGGGCCTGGGTTCACGTCCCAGCTCAGCAGCTTAGTTGGGTTATATCCTGGAAGCCCTGTCTGAGCCTCAGTCTTCCCAAAAGGGGTCTACCTCTTCCTGCAAGTCCCGGCTTAGGCTCGGGAGAGGGAATGGACGTGGAGGCGTCACGCAGAGCCCCAGTGTGCCCTGGTTCAGTGGTTTCTCCCCCCACCGGCCCCAGCTGCTGTGGCCATGTCCCCCACCGAAGTGCAGGGCAGCCGCTGGTGTCGGCCGCGCACTGGGTGGCTTTAGCCCCCACCCCCCATTCCACGGGAGGAAATAGAGGCCCCCAGAGGGTGGGTCTTGCCGCAAAGGCCCGGCAGCCAGCCTGGCTCTCCCCCGCCACCCACAGGTGTTGATGCCTCACCAGAGCTGGGGGACGCGCCCCCGCAGGGCCCGGCCAGCCTGGAGCCCCTGGCGCCCCCGGAGAGCACTGAGGAGGGCGCTGACACAGAGAGGTGCCCGGGGCCGGGTGTGGGGGGCGGGGTGCTGAGTGCAGGAAGGGGCTTACCAGGCTGGGGAGGCGCGTGCGGGGCCGCGCTGCCATTTGCTCCTGCTGTCCCCGAGCCGTCTCCACTCTGCCCTGCTCCTCCCTTTGCCCATCCTCGGCCTCCTCTGTCCATCCTCCACTTTTTCTTTTCTCATCTCCTCTTCCCTCTTCCTCCTCCCTCCCGCGCTCTTCGCCTCTGGGCTCCCCCTGTCCCCTCCCTCACCCCTTCAGATTTTCATCCCCTCCCCCCCTCTTCTGAGCCACTGCCCTGCGCCTTGCTCCTGCCTCCCAGTGCCCTGTCCTCCACCCCCCACCCTCTGTGCTCCAAGCCTGGGGGCCCTGTCCTCCTCACAGTTGGGGGGCAGGCTCTGCCCCCTGCCCGTCCTTGTGCCGCTGCTTTGGGGGCCCTTTGGTAGGTGGGGGAGGTGAGTTGGGTTCCATTTGGGTCCTCCTCTGACCCTGTGCCCCTCTCTCCCCAGAAGGTGGAAGAGGTGGGTGCCTGGGCCCTGGGTGGGGGGAGGGCTAGCCCCTCCCCCATTTCTCCCAGCCCCTCCCCTCTCCCCATGGGCCACCCCCTCCCCTTCACCCTGCAAGGGGTGGGTGGGGACATCACCCTCCCAGCAGAAGAGCTAAGTATTGAAATCTCCTTCCCTTCCTCACTCCCTGCTCTGCCCCCCCAATCCCATTGCCTCAGGGAAGGGAGGGGTCAGTCCTGTGCTCCATCCTGGGTCTCCCTCCCCACCCCCACCAAGTTTCCCTGTCCCTCCTGACCACCCCCACTGCCCCAGCACCCCAAAGTCCCAAGTCCCACTGCTCCTTCTGACTCTCTCCTCTCTTCTGTTGCATGTTTGATATCTGTCCTGGTCTCCCCTACCTGGGTCCCCATCTATCCCTGTCCTCGTCTCTCCCTGTCTGTCCCTGACCTGGTATCTCCCCACCTCTGTCCCTGTCCTGGTCTCTCCCTGTCTGTCCCTGAACTGGTATCTCCCCACCTCTGTCCCTGTCCTGGTCTCTCCCTGTCTGTCCCTGACCTGGTATCTCCCCACCTCTGTCCCTGTCCTGGTCTCTCCCTGTCTGTCCCTGACCTGGTATCTCCCCATCTCTATCCTTGTTCTGGTCTCTCCCTGTCTGTCCCTGACCTGGTATCTCCCCACCTCTGTCCCTGTCCTGGTCTCTCCCTGTCTGTCCCTGACCTGGTATCTCCCCACCTCTGTCCCTGTCTTGGTCTCTCCCTGTCTCTTGCCCTCTCCTGGTCTCTCCCCAACTGTCCCTGTCTTGGTCTCTCCCTGTCGGTCCCTGTCTTGGTCTCTCCCTGTCTCTGTCCCTGTCTTGGTCTTTCCCTGTCTCTGTCCTGGTCTCTGCCTGACTCTGTCCTTGGCCTCGGGGTCCAGGCTATCGGGGCGTCTGGGGCGCTCGGAGAGCCTGCGGGTGAGTGACCGCCGCCGGCCTTCCCGGGGCAGCCTCGGGGCTAAGGGCCGGGGTGGGGGCCGCTCCCGGAGTGACGTGGACATGGACCCCAGCTCTGCCACGGCCGTGCTTGGCCCTGCCCGACGAGCCACGTAGGTCATTCCTCCCACATCTACTGAGGCAACCTGGAGAGTCAGGAGGATGGTGGGGGAGGGGTCGTTGCCAGATTTACAGAGAACTGGGTATTGGACGCTAAGGTCACTGAGGTCACAGGAGAGGGGTGGGACTCTTCTTTCTAGAGATTTGGGGGCTGCTCTGCAGCATGGGCTACTTTGCAGGCATTGAATGCCAAGGCCATGGGGTGGGGTGGGGGATGGGGTGTTAGACACTAGGAATGGAAGTCTCCTCCCTGGGATTCCCCAAGCTGGGGCCCTAACGAGGCCTCTGTCTCACAGCCCTGAGCCCGGAGATGAAGGGGACCCGGGACGGTCAGGACTAGAGCTGGAACCAGAAGAGCCCCCTGGCTGGCGGGAGCTCGTTCCCCTTGGCACCCTGCACAGCCTGCCCAAGAACCAGGTGAAGCGGCAGGAGGTCATCAGCGGTGAGTACCCGGAACACCACCCAATTCTGGCAAAGAGACCATGGAGCTGTCCATCCCCCCAGAGCTTGAAGGCGGCCTGTTTCCACCGAGGGCCATTTGTTATGTAAATTGTAGAACAGCCACTCATGGAACAAGAATGTGGCTGTCAGCTGTCAAAGTGACATTTCCAGCGAGTTCTGCGCCCCCCCGCGCGCCCCCCCCCCCCCCAGTACAGGGCAGTGCTGGTTAAGAGCAGGAACGGGTATATAAAGTTGTATTTTTCCAGTAAATCTTTGTTTTCTTATTTGGGTAGTAATAGTTCACACCTCAAAAGAGTGTCACGGAGCTGAGGTGATTGATGTGAAGCGTTTAGCGCGGTGTGGGGCCGGGTAAGAACTTTCCAGTGTGACTCTTCTTACCATGATCTTAACCGTTCAGGGGCAAAAAGGGTCCCAGGGGCACACGTTTCAGAAGATAACCAATATATTATCAGTGCTTGCTTCCGGGCAGGGATGTGATGGAAGTATTGTTTCCGTCTTGATTCTTTTCTGTGATTTTGAACTGGGTGTGGGGAGGGTGTTTGGCAAAATAGGACACTTCTTTGGAAGCTCTGGTTTGGAAGTTTATTTACAAGTTGCTTAATAGTAAGGGTACTCATTTGGAATTTTTAGGGCAGTAGGGGAATACTTTTTGTGTCACAGATCCTTCTAAGGATATGAGCAAAACATAAAGCAGTGCTATCGGATGGAATTTTCTGGAATAATGAAAACACGCAGCATCTGCGCTGTCCAGCATGGTTACCACCAGCCACGTGATGGCCGTTGAGCACTTGAAATGTGACAAGTACAACTGGCAACGGAATTTTGCATTTCAGTTAAAATCTGAAGGCCTGTGCTTGGCTAGCGGCCACCGGAGCAGACAGCACAGCCATTTCCCTCCTCAGAAAAATATTCCTAACACAGGATTGCGCGTTTAGTCTCCAGGGACTCCTGGGGCCTCTGAAACCCAGGCATGCTCCCTCTGGGGGGGTCCCTGGGTCCAAGGCTATCAACGTGTGTGTAAAGGGTTATCATTGTTCCGGAAACCAAGGCCGAGAGACCTGCTGGACGCCAAACACAGCTCCGGCAGGTGGGAGGGGGGGCGCTTGCTGGTGGTGGTGTGACCAACTCATCCCAGTTCGCCTCGAACTTTCCCAGGTGTAGCACTGAAAATCCCATGTTCTGGGAAAGGCGTCAGTGCCAGGCACAGGGGACCACTGGTCACCCTGGCTGGCTGCCGCAGCCAAGCAAAACTTGCAACAGGATCAGGAATCTTCAGTGGCTATTTCAGGGGCAAGCGATTCCGTCCAGAGAGAGTCACCCCTGTCCCCCACCCCGAGCCTGCCTCTGAGACTACACCCCATCCTTTGCACCCTCCCCAACCATGCTTCCTGCTCGGTGGCCCCACAGAGCTGCTGGTGACAGAGGCCGCCCACGTGCGCATGCTCCGGGTGCTGCATGACCTCTTCTACCAGCCCATGGCGGAAGGGGGCTTCTTTTCCCTGGAGGAGCTACAGAACATCTTCCCCAGCCTGGACGAGCTCATCGAGGTGCATTGTGAGTGCAGGGCCATGGCCCACTGTGCGCCCCACCACCAGCTCCCTCCTCAAGGCCTTTGCGGCTAGACCTGGAGTCTAGCACATTCCCCTTGAGTGCCTACCACGGGCAGCTTCTTTTCTAGCCCTGGGGGCAACCTCAGACCCCCAGAGCTCACATTCCAGGGGGCACATCAACAAGCACAGGGCATGGGTGGGGGTTGGGGGGGGCAGCCCATTGGCCCCAAGGATTAGACACTTGCAGCCCAACCTCCACAACCCCCCGATCAGCTCTACATACCACCTCTTGGGCCCTGACAGAGCACCCCCTTCCCTCACCGCTCTTAACAGCCCTGTTCCTTGATCGGCTGATGAAGCGGAGGCAGGATAGTGGCGACCTCATTGAGGAGATCGGAGATGTGCTGCTGGCCCGGGTGAGGGCGCCCAGCCCCTGCCCCCCTGGGGTCCCCTCCTCCCAGCCAGGGACCTGGAATCCCATCAAGATCCAGGGGTCTGGGCCCCTCACCCTGTCCTCCTGTCGAGGCTGCTATTCCCATGTGAGGCCCTGTTCTTCCCAATCCCACCTGAGACACCCTCCCTGGCCTGAATCTCACTGTAGTTTGATGATGCCGAAGGCAACTGGTTCCAGAAAATCTCCTCCCGCTTCTGCAGCCGCCAGTCATTTGCCTTAGAGCAGCTCAAAGCCAAGCAGCGCAAGGAGCCTCGGTTCTGTGCCTTTGTGCAGGTGAGGGGGAAGCCAGGGTCCCAGGGGGGAGGGGGCTGGTGTCGCAGTCCCCGAGGCGCCCCCAGTACGGGCCACCTCAGCGCCACTCTGCCCCTAGGAGGCCGAGAGCCGCCCACGGTGCCGCCGCCTGCAGCTGAAGGATATGATCCCCACGGAGATGCAGCGTCTGACCAAGTACCCCCTGCTCCTGCAGAGCATTGGGCAGAACACAGGTGCCAGAGGGCCAGGCCCCACGCTGCGGGGCCCCGGCTCTCCCATCTCTCACCATGGCGGGGCAGGGGCCAGGAGCTTCTGGCTCGGGGTTCACCGGGGCTCGTCTCTCCTCTGCCACAGAAGAGCCGGCGGAACGGGAGAAAGTGGAACGGGCAGCTGAGTGCTGCCGGGAAATTCTGCACCATGTTAACCAAGCCGTGCGCGACATGGAGGACCTGCTGGTGAGCCTGGCTGTGGGCCCAGAGGGAGGGGGCGTCCGTGTGGGGGGCCTGGGCGGGCCTTTGTCTTGTCTACCTCGGGGCCCCTTCTCTGGAGGTCGGGCCTGGCCCTTGGCTTGTCCCTTCGGGGTCGCTGTGGGTCAGCCGCAGCCCTTGGGTCATCCCCATGACTCTCCCTTCCCTGCCCCAGCGGCTCAAGGATTATCAGAAGCGCCTGGACTTGTCCCACCTGCGGCAGAGCAGTGACCCCATGCTGAGCGAGTTCAAGGTGGCCCTGCCTGCCCTGACCTCCCCGCTTCTCCCTGGCCTTCCCCTGCCCCTCCTGCCCCCAGGACTCTGTGCTAATGCGCCCCGGGAATGAGAGCCACCCCCTGCCCAGAACCCCTCCTCGGTCCCAGCGGCTTGCCCGTCCTGGGCCCGGCCCGCCATCCCGGCCCCGTGGTCCTCCCCGCCCTCCCCCGCCCTGCGCCGACCATGACGCCTTCCTGCCTCCAGAACCTGGACATCACCAAGAAGAAGCTGGTGCACGAGGGCCCGCTGACGTGGCGGGTGACGAGGGACAAGGCTATAGGTGAGCGCCGGGGCTGAGCGGGGCCGGGGGGGGCCCGGGGGCGCGCTGCTGAAGCCTGGGCCTCGCCCTGCAGAGGTCCACGTGCTGCTGCTGGACGACCTGCTGCTGCTCCTCCAGCGCCAGGACGAACGGCTGCTGCTCAAGTCCCACAGCCGGACGCTGACGCCCACGCCCGACGGCAAGACCATGCTGCGGCCCGTGCTGCGACTCACCTCCGCCATCACCCGCGAGGTGGCCACCGGTGAGGCCCCTGCCCGCGGGATGGGGGGCCTCTGAAAGAGCTGGGGAGCGCACACTGGCCCCGGGGAGGCCACGGCCGAGGCCCAGGAAGGGGAAGCTGCGAGGGCCCCCCCGCCCCGGAGCCGGGCATGGTGGGGGGCCAGGAGCACTGTGGGCCTTAGAAAGGGAGCCGCGCAGCTCCCCAGGGGTTTGCACACAGGAGCTGCCAGCTCTGATCAGCATTCGGAGACGCCCCCCGCAGGGACCTGTAGGGGAGCAGGGGTGGAGGCTGGAGCCCAGCGAGGAGGGGTTTGCAGATGCGCTCCAGGGGTTTTGTGGGGAGAGCCAGACTGGGGACTGATGGATGAGGGGATGTGAGAGGGAGGCCCTGGGAGGAGGCACCGGAGGGATGGGCGTGAGCTGGGGGAGCCCAAGCTCAGGGGAGGTGCACATCGGGGTGACCCTGGCTCTGAACCCCCTCTCCCTCCTCCTGCAGATCACAAAGCCTTCTATGTCCTTTTCACGTGGGACCAGGAGGCCCAGATATACGAACTGGTGGCCCAGACCGTGTCAGAACGGAAGAAGTGAGGGGGGCCTGGGTTCTAAGCTCGGGTGGAAGAGGCGGCCCAGGCTGGGGGGTGGGAGGCCCCAGTACAGGATCTGGGGGCTCTGACTGCCTGCCCTGGGGTGGGGGCTGACCTGTCTCCCCAGCTGGTGTTCCCTCATCACCGAGACTGCTGGATCCTTGAAGGTCCCCGCTCCCGCCTCTCGCCCCAAATCCCGGCCCAGCCCAAGCAGGTGAGGGGGACACTGGAGGGCTCAGGAGCCAGGGGAGAGACTTCGTGTGTCTCCAGAACCTGAGCTCCGGGCGTGTGTGTGTGCGTGCGTGTGTGTACCACTACCACAGCCCGTCCGGCCCCCGTCTCCATCTCCCAGCCTCAACTTCTGTTTCTGGACCACCCCCCCCGCCTCCTGCTGTCTCCCTGCTGCCCCCCAGGGCCAGGGCCGTGGGGTCACCCAGTACTTCCTCCCCGCAGCACCCGAGAACCCCTGCTCAGCAGCTCAGAGAACGGCAACGGTGCTGGCCGAGAGATGCCCCCAGTGGACAGTGAGCCTTTGCGGGGGCGCGGAGTGGGGGGGCAAGGTGTCCTGAGGAGGCCGGGCAGGAACTGAGCACCGCCCCCCCCCCCGCCCCGCTTCTTCCTCCCCTCCCCCCAGGCCGGACAGAGAGAATCCTCAGCACCCTCCTGCCCTACTGCAGGCCCGGCCCCGAGGGCCAGCTCGCGGCCAAGGCCCTTGAGAAAGGTAGGCCGGCGCCGTCCGTGCGGGGCTGCCACTAGCCCATCTTTCCGGCCTGTCTCCTGTCCAGGCCCAGTGCGTGCCAGGCCTGCACCACCACCCTCGGTGGCCCCGAGCCCCTCTTCCTTCTGTAGCCTCTGTCCCTCCCTTGACCTCCGGTTCAGCCTCTCCCTGGACACCCTCTATTCTCCGTGTCCCCTCCACACCCCCTTCACATCCCCCAGCCCCACCTGCAGCCCGGCCCCCACCTTCCCCTCTGGGTCCCCCCCGCCCCTGCAGGCCCCTGGCCTCTTTCCCAGCCCCGCTTCTGACTCTGTCCCCTTGCCCCTGCCAGTGCGGTCCCTGAAGCAACTCCTGTTTCCCTCGGAGGAAGACAGTGGGGCGGGGCCTCCCCGTGAAGGGGATGGGGTCCCAGGGGGCGGCTCCCAGAGCCCCACCCAGACCCAGGAGATTCGGGAGAAGCTGCTCAGCCTGGAGGAGACCATGAAGCAGCTGGAGGTGGTGGCCTGGGGAGAGGGGCAGGGCGGGGGAGGGTGGGGCTGACTCGGTGGAGGGACCCCTCTCATTGAGGCCCCTCCATCCAGGAGGTGGAGGAAGAATTTTGTCGCCTGCGACTCCTCCTGTCTCAGCTTGGGGAGAACACCGCCCCCCAGCCTGGCTGTACCTGAGGCCCCCTGCCCCAGGCAGGTGAGTGGACACCCAGAGGGCTCGCAGCTCTGCCGGAGGGGAGGGACCGCAGTGGGCATCTCAGGGGCTCCCTTCTCCACAGCCCCCTCCTGCTCTCTGTCTCCCTACCTCTCCCCATTCCACCTCCTGGCTCAGGCTGTTCCCCTTTTTGGGCTCTTCTGTGTTCACTCTGCCCGTTCTCCTCCTCCCCACCCCCCCCGCTTCTCCCCCTTCTTGTCCCTCTGCATCTCTCCCCATCTCCCTTCTCCTCCATCCGCCAGGCCTTTCGCAAGACTGAGGGCCACCCACCGCCGCACAGCTGCCGCAGCATCTCCAACCCCAAGGGCCTGAGGAGAGGGAGCTGGGCTGCTGGGGGGGCCATGCCTGGGGGGCCAGCTGGCATCACCGCCTCCCCCCCGACCTCCCATCGGCCTTGGCCTGCTCTCCCTCCTGCCTTCTGTCTGGGGGACTCAGGGCTTCATTCCGGGGGGGGATCCACAGTGACCCCCCCCATTACCCAGGCCATCTCTGTATTGCCTGGGGGGCACCCCTCCATTCCCTGCCCCCAAGTGCCTTTGCTATGTTTTTATACCCTGAATTGGAGGTTTATTTTTTAATATATATTATCTAAGGAGAGCTGTGTGCGTGAGGAGGGGATGGGGGCCCTGGAATGGTTTCTGGAACCCTCTGTCTGGCATCACCTTCCTGGGTCTGTCTCCCCCTGCCTTTCTCCACTTCTTCCTTCCTTCCTGTGCTTTAACAGTGACTCCCCAGGTGATCCCCCACTCCCACCCGAGCCCCCCACTGTCACCCACGACGCCGGGCTCCCCCACAGCTCACACTCCTTTCCGTTCTTTTATTTTTGTAGTAAACTCTCTGGAGGTGGCTGGTGGGGAGGGGGCCCTCCTGGGCGGGGGCTGGGGGCGGGGTTATTGCTCTGAGCTCCCTGTCCCAGGGGGCCTGTGTGGGGAGGGTGTCAGGACTGGGACCGGCACGAGGGGAGACCACAGCCGCACAAACACGCAGGTCACAGGTGCGGGGGGGGGCGGGCAGGAGAGGCTGGGCGCCATATTGCACTTTGGGAGTCGGGCCAGGCGGGGACCCCCCCCACCCCATCACACTGGAGCCTGGGAAGGAGGCTATCACATTCCCTCCCCCCCTGGAGGGGGAAGGGAGACCCCAACCTGGGGTTCGGGAGGAAGGTGGGCAGCCACGTGCCTGGTCCTGGGAGGGGCCAAGGGCTGGTCCCCGGCCTGGGGCGGGACATCGAGGGCAGACCAGGCGATGGCAGAGGCTGCTGTGCGAGGGTCTGCCCCGATCCCCGCCCTGGCAGAACCCTTCACCCCCCACGGGCTCAGCTGCCGATCCCCCCTTTGCTCGCCTTGGCCTTGGGGGGCACAGGGAGGCCCTCGTCACCCTCGCTGTCAGAGCTGCAGCCGCTGACGTCCGTGATCTCCAGCTCCGAGTCGCTGTCGTCCTTCCCGCCCAGCGCGGCCTCTGGACCCCCGGCTCCCGGCAGTGCCAGGCGAGGGGCTGCTGCCAGGCCCGAAGGGCGCTCGGGGCCCAGGCCCTCCCCCGCCGCAGCCAATAGGGGCGAAGCTGTAGGGCCTCCCCCGGCCCCTGCCGAGGGCAGGTGGCCCAGGGAACTGGCCAGAGGGTTGGGGTAGAAGTGGGGGGGGTACAGAGAGGGGGGCAGCTTGGGGAAGGGGCCGGTGAGGTACGGGTTAAAGTTCCAGGGGTAGTCTGGGAAGGCGCGGCTGTAAGGACCCAGCAGGCCGGGAGGCTTGGAATAGCCAGTGGCACCTGGGGAGCACGGGGTGGGTCAGGCCGGGCACACCTCCAGTGGGGGGAGGCGCCCCCTCCCTGCGCCGTCCACCCGCTTCTGCCCATTCTCTCTCCCACGTGGCATCTGCCCCCTCTCCGCCCTCACGTGGTTTTCCCCAGTTCTGCCCTGGTCTTCCCAGTCCTTTGGCGCCCTAAAAGCCCTTCTCCCAGCCTGTCCCTGCCCCAGTTTCCCTCCTCCCTGCCTCTCCCCAAATCCTCCTGGGGCTCTTAAACACACACAGGCACAAGCACAGCCTCGCCCTAGGCCTCCCTCCTGCATCCTGCCTCTCCCCGTCTTTGCCTGTCCTCTTCCCTCAGACACAGGCCACGGGTCCCCCACCTCCAGCCGGCACCCACACCCACAGGCCCTTACCAGAGCCCAGGAACGGGAAAGGGCTGTCCAGACGCAGCTTGTCTGTCTCAGGGGTGAACAGGGGCGCCCTGGCCCCTGGCTCTCCCAGGCGAGGGGCTGAGAACAGGGTCTGCAGGGTCTGCAGAGGGAGGAAGCAGCACCACTCAGCCGGGCTGCCCATCCCCGGGGGGGGGGGGGGGGTTGATGGCTGGGGAGGCGGCACCAAAGGCCCGGTTCTGGGACCCCCGTGTCCTGACTCACCTCGGGAGTAAGGGGAGGAACATCTGGCCCAGAGGTCCCCCCAAAGGGACCAGGGGTCAGCAAGAGTGGGGAGCCCGTGGTGGCTGCCGCCACATCCAACAGTGGGTAATTGACAAGCACGACTTTGCTGAAGTTGAACTTGTAGGTGAACCTCTTCCCTTTGGTCTTATGGAGAATCCGCTTGTTGTAGTAGTAACTGTGGGGAGAGGGGGGAGGAGGGCATGCTGGGGAGGGGCGCCGAGGCAGGTAAAGAGGGAGCCCCTGACTCATGTTAGTGCACAGAGCACAGCAGCTTGGGGAAACCGAGGCTCACAGAAGTCCCTTAACCAAGGTGGCAAGGCAGGGGTGAAGCAGGGGCTGGGATCCTGGCTTCCGGCCTTCCTCCTTGCTTCCCTCCCACTCACAAGTAATCACAGTGGCTCCCCATGTGGATCCCTGCACATTGGGATCCAAGGGATTCTGCCCCAGGAGACCAAGGGCAAGCCCCCAGGGGGCGGGGGACCAGCCTCTCCCTGCCCCTCCTCACCGCAGGGCCCGGCTCAGCTTGTCATAATTCATGTGGGGCTTGCACTTGCGGATGCCCCAGAGCCGAGCCACTTCATCGGGGTCCTTGATGACGAATTCCCCATAGTCCCCCTGCCAGGCGATGACCCCCTGGTACTCCTCCTTCTGCAGCAGCTCCAGGATAAAGTGCCACAGCTGGATCTGCCTCGAGCCAGGGGACGACTCCGGCTTGTAGGCCCAATCCGGGAAGGCAAACCCTGGGGACAGGAAGCAGGGGAGTGGCCCCGGGTCAGGACGCTAAGTCCGGGGCTCTAGGTCCTGCATGGACTTGGGAACCAGGAGGCAGCCGGCCCCCCCTGAATCCTGGTCTCTTGGGCATCTTTAGGGACACAATTCCTACTCTCTGTACCCCAGTTGGTGTCCAGTCCCCAAACTGCCCAAATAGTGGCAGTGAACTCAGTCATCCGGGGACCCTGGCGTGGCACCTGCAGCCTCATGCTCTACCTTGGCATCCCGGGGTGGAGCGTGGGAGGGGCCGGTTTCCTGCAGCCCTGTGAGGAGGACATGGGAGGGGCACCCCCTCCTCATCAAAAGCCCTTCTCCCGCTTTCCCCTCCAGCCCTGCCCTGGGAGGCCTCTGGTCTCTCCTGCTCTCTGGAACGCCCCTAAGTTTTGCTGTCTCCCCGAAGCCCTCCACTGACCCCACACTGGCACGGCCAGGCCAGGCCGGCGTGCCCGTGTGTGTCTGTGCCTGTCCCCGTATTTCTACCTTTCACGTCCTGTCCCCCCTCCCTACCTCTGTGCTCCATCAGTCTGAGCGCACTGTGCATCAGCAGGTCCCCACAGCGTACGTGTCACACAGACGTCCGCTCACGCTCCAGGGACACCCGGCGACACCACGGCGCACGGACCCACCAGAGTGCCACACTCCTGCTGGGGTGCAGCACCCCACACGCAACGTGCCACCGCGGCATGCCTGCCGGACACCTGGCATCGCGCATCCCAACACACAATCGCACATCTCGGGCCCCTCAGAACTGGGACCTGCTAACCACAGCGCCATGACAGGAGACACAGGGGACCCCAAAGGCCCAGCTAGCTAACAGTGCCGTGGCGCCGGTGAGCACAGCCTCCAGACGTGCGTCAGCCTGACGGGCACACACGGGGTGACGCCACCCCTATAAAACAGCCCCCCAGACCCTCCACATGCAGGCACCCGCGGCTCGCTCTGCATGACACACCTCACACTCAGATGGGTGTCCCGCGCCCCTGTGTGCAGATGCTCCAAATAAGCCGGATGGAAATGGGAGGGTCTTGCCCACCCCTAAGTCTTACCTCCCGGCCGAAGGCCCCAGGGCCTGGGTCCCGCTTCTGTGCTCAATCCCGGGCTCCCTCCTCTGTCCCCTCTCTCCCTCAGAGACCCCAGGCCCAGGCAGGAGAATAGAAGGCAGGATGAGCCCTAAGGAACCATCGCTGGGGAGGAAGACAACGCGGAGCTGAGAGCGCGGCCACATGATCTACTTGCTGTGTGGTCCCAGGGCACGTCCTTGCCTTCTCTGGCTCATTAGAACTTCAGGGGTGGGAGGCAAGGAGCAGCAGGGTCCCATCCGGGCTGCCTGGTGCATGTGAGTGGGTGCTCACGCCTCCCTGCCGAAGGCTCAGAAGCCAGGCAGTCTCCCCCCCGAAAGCAGAATTTTTCTCTCAACCCCATCTTGGGTCTTTCTTACTCCAGGTAAGACAGGCTCAATTAACTCGCGAGCTCTGGCCCATTGCACACCTGGAACACATCCGAGTGGGGAAGAGGCGACCCCAAAGATGACAGCCCAGAGATGACAGCACACAACTGGCCACACACATGCAGATACACAACCCAATCTGGAACCGCCATCTGTCCTCAAATACACTGTACCTGCTGAGACACACACAACTAGAGAGGACCCACAACCTCAGCCTGCAGATACACACGTTATGACAGCCCCCCAGATTCAGTCACACTCAGTGACACACAGATGCAAGAAACCCCCTGACACACACCCACCCCCCAACACAGACACAGAGGCCGGGGGCGGAGGGGGCACCCACCCACACAGCCCGAAGCGCACCGAGACATCCATTCTGGACCACGACACAGACCCGGAAGTAACAGCAGCAGGCCCTTCACCCGACTGAGGCAGGTACGTACTTGGCGAGCTGACACCCACCTTCCCCCAGTCCTAAAATGTAAGCACGCTCGACATCCTAAAGAAACACGACCCACCCAGCCCAGAGACACCCAGGTAGCCTCCTGTGTGTGTGCAAGCAGGCACACCAGCTCACACAAAGACAGATGCTGCACAGACATACGCTCTCCCAGTGTGACCCCTTCTTCCAGAAGCACTGAAGCATGACACAGGGACACACTCAGACCCCACGCATAAGCAGGCACACACACACACACACGCACACACACACAGCCCATCTGTGGGGCGTGTGACTTGGACTCAAATGCACATCCAAGCCAGTCTTACTGTCCACATCCCCAGCTCTGAGTGTCCACTTCTGAGCAGGCCGTCCTCTCTCCCAGGGCTCCGGCGGGCTGGGCCATGTCTCCACGTCCCCCTGCCCAGGCAGTCCCTGTCCATCTATCCACCTGCGCCCCCTCCGGTCCCCGCCCCTACGCCGTCAGGGTGCCTGGCCGTCTCCAGCCTCCTTGCCTCTCTTTGCCCGAAGGTCCTGGGCAGGGAGCAGGCGAAGAGGTACGCAGCCGGGACCCCAGGACCTCAGACCCCTGCATCCTGTCCGTTTCAGACCCCGATACCTCCCCCACCCTCACGTCCCAGCAGGCAGGTAGCAGGGACATCTCGCTGTGAAGTTTTTAGCCAAGTTTTTCATTAGGGGGTTGCATTCAGGGGACTGTGAGAGAGACCGGGACAGAGGAGGGAGGACAGGAAGAGGTGCAGAAAGGAGGAGCCGGCTGGCTGGGAAGGGGTGGGAGGTCCGGGCCAGGGCCAGTTACCGGGGGTCCAGAGAGCCGGCAGGGCGGGCGGGGCGAAGAGAAGGTCGGAGACGCAGCTACAGTCCATGGTGGAGCCAGCCCTGCAGAGACGCCAGGACAGACACACAGGGACAGACAGGGGTCAGTGGGGTGGGCGCTCCGCCTGGAGCCCACCCGTCCTGCCACCCGCCACCTTCTTCACCCACGTCCAGCCGACCCTTCCTCCCAGCCTCTCCTCCCGCAGCCTCCTCCTCGCTCTGTGCCTCGATCACTACCCACAGCGCCCCCGGCCCCCCTCCCCACTGCTCCCACTCACTCGCTCACTCACACTCGCTGGCTCGCCACCCGCCCGCCCCGCACCAGCTCTGCCGCTGCCGCCGCTCTCCGGCCGCTCCGCTCTCGCGCCTGACCTCCCATCCGTCTCTGCGTCTCTGGGTCTCTGTCCCTCTCTCTGGCCCTCCCAGATTTGTCTCCTGAACCTCGCCCCCACCCCGTGGCCCGCCCAGCAGACCCCCAGGCTGGCTCGTCCAGCTCCCAAGCAGCCCCCAGCTTTCATCTGCCGACCCACAGCGGGCCAGAAGCGGCCCATCTGCCCTGCACCCTGCAGGAGGGCTCCCCCAGAAGCCCCTTCCCCTTAGATCTGCCTCCCCCCACCAAAGAGCACCCCCAGACACCCCTTCCCCTTAGATCTGCCTGCCCCCCACCAAACAGCACCCCCAGACACCTTCCCCTTAGATCTGCCTCCCATACCAAATAGCTCCCCCAGACGCCCCTTCCCCTTAGATCTGCCTCCCCCACCAAAGAGCACCCCCAGATGCCCCTTCCCCTTAGATCTGCCTCCCCCCACCAAATAGCTCCCCCAGACGCCCCTTCCCTAGATCTGCCTCCCCCACCAAAGAGTACCCCCAGACACCCCTTCCCCTTAGATCTGCCTCCCCCTACCAAACAGCACCCCCAGACGCCCCTTCCCCTTAGGTCTGCCTCCCCCCACCAAACAGCACCCCCAGATACCCCTTCCCCTTAGATCTGCCTCCAACAAACAGCACCCCCAGACACCCCTTCCCCTTAGATCTGCCTTCCCCTGAGATAGCCCCCCATACCTTAGATCTGCTCCCCCCACACAGTCCCCCTCAGACACTACTTCCTCTTAGATTTGCTTCCCCCTCAAACCTCCCCCCAGACATCCCTTCTCCTTAGATCTGCCCCCCACCCCGGACAGCCCCCCCCCAAGATACCCTTCTTGGATATGCATCCCCTTAAGACAGCCCCCCTCAGACACTTCTTCCCTTTAGATCTACCTCCCCCAAACAGTACCCTTCAAACACCCCTTCCTCCTCAGACATATGGTTCCCCCCTCAGACACCACTACCCCTTTAGATCTGCCTCCTCCCTCAGCTCCCCTTCAGACACCCCTTCCCCCTTGGATATGCCTCCCTTCTCAGGTTCTCTCAGACCCCTACTCCTTCAGATACCCCATCCCCCTGAGACACTCCATCCCCTCCTCACTGGCCTCTCAGAACCCTTCCCCTTCTGCCAGGCCCTCCCCCTTAGACACCCCGCTACCTCAGACCCCCCCCACACACTCATACCCTGAGACATCCGCTCCTCTCCGACACCCACCCCTCAGACACATCTTTCCTCCTCAGATACTTCAGGCCCTCACCACTCCACCCCTTGAGACCCCACCTCTGAGAGAGAGCACTTTTCTCAGACCCCCTGGCTCAGACACACCCCCCTCAAATACCCCACCCCCGCTACATGCTCTCCAACGCAGCAATCCTCCCAAGCACCACCCTGCCCGAAGATCCCAGACAGCCGCTGTGTTCCCCATAAACCTCACCTCACCCCTTGGACACCAGACAAGGCTTGGCAGATGGCCCATTCCCTCCAGACCTGCCCGGTCCCCATGGACACCCAGGCGGCCCCCCTGCCCCGCAGCGTCCACTGACTGCCTTCTCCCACACAGTCCCCCCCAGCACTAAGGCCCCCTGCCACATCATCTGCCTCTTGGCCTGTGGCCACTCTGCCCCCACGCCCCCTCTGTTTCCCATCCAATCTCCCCAACTTTCTCTGTTGATCTCCTTCCCTGTCTCTCCCCCTCTTTATTTCTCTGCATGCATCTTTCCCCCCTTCTCCTGTCTCCCCCCAGCTCTTTTCCATTTTTCTGTCCCTCTTTCCTGGTCTCCCCACAATCCGGGGGTCTCCTCCCATCCTTCTCCACCTACTCTCCCCAACCCCTGTGCCCCCCCAACCTCCCTCGGTCTCCCTGATCTCTGGCTTCCCCAAGCCCCCTCTCTTCCCCATCCCCGTCCCCAGCCCTTCTCTGGGCTCTCCCCTCTCCCCGCTGTGCCCCCACCCCGGCTCTGTGTGCCCCCAGCCCGTCCCGCCTCAGTCTCCCCATCTCCCTCCCGGCCCCGCACCTCGCCAGCCACCTCTCTCCCACCTCCCGCTCGCTCTGCCTCTCCGGGTCCCCCTCCCTCCTGCCTCCGCCCCCGCCCCCACCCCCATTGGCCCCTCTCATTTCCGTGTTGGTTTTGATTTCTCTTCCCGACGCTTTCAACTCCCCGCCGCCTCCTCCGGACACGTTATAACGAGGAGCCGTGGGATCGGCGCTCCGGGCCCTGCTCCCATGCTTCCCCCGCATCTCTCACACGCATCTCTGCTGTCTCGCCGTCTCTGCCTGCCCCTCCTCTGTCCCTGCCTCTGTCCAGTCGGGCCCACAGGGACTGGGTCCCTGCCCCGACTGTCGGGGTCCACAGAGCCACGTCTGTGTGTCCCTGTGTCTGTCTCTGGGTCCCCACGTCTCCCTGTCTCCACACCGCTCTTTTATGTCTCTGGGTCTCCACGTCTCTCCTCCCCACATCCTTGTCTCCGCATCCCTCAGTCTCTGTCTCCATCTCTGTCTCTGTCTCCACGTCTCTGTTTCTGTCCCAGTGTTCGTCTCTTGGGGCCCCTTTGATCTCGCCCTGCCCCTGGCGCCCCCCTGGCCCCATTGATCGCCGATCGACCAATGGAAGGAGCGGGCCTGCGGGGGCCGGGGCTGCAGGGCCAGGAAGGGGCCCCGGCAGGACGCTGGACAGACGGACAGACGACGGACAGCCGGCCCCAGACCTGGTAGCTGCGGAGGGGGAGCTGCTGCAGCCCCCGCCCCGCCCCGCCGGTCCGCGCCGTGCGGATGGGGACTCCGGGCAAGCTTTAATTTTTAATTTTATTTTGCTTCCTCCACACCCCCCCCGCCCCCCATCTCCACCGCCTGCAGCCATGGCGGTGTGTGTGTGTGCATGTGCGTGCAGCAGTGTGGAGAGGGGCTGGGCGGGCAAGACGCCGCCGCTCTCCTCTCCTCGCCAAGCAGACACGCAGTCCAGGCACACACACACACGCCACACAGACACGGGCCAACAAAATGACACACAGCACATCCCACGGACACAGGTCAACGAAGTCCCACGTATCACACCAGCACACTTCACACCCACGTGTGATGCACCTGTCAACAATATCGCGTGCAACAAGACCGTGACAACCAACACACAGCACACAGACCCACATGGCAACCCAGGCACACGGACCACCACGTCCTACGCAACACACGGACAAACAGGTCCATGCAGTCAGGAAGCGTGTGACTGTCACTCACACACACCAGGATGGCCACAGATATTCAGAGAAACAGACACGCGGTTCTAGACACACACCAATTCAACGGCCCACAGAAACAAAGACACACAGTCACCAGTCGTGGACAGAAACCCACTAACACAGACACGTAAGGACACACTGAGGCTCACGACCTGAGGCAGACGTACTGACTTACAAGCACACTGACTCGATGCCACCCAGAAACAGAGACGTACCGGGACACACACGGGACACACACAAGCACCTAGGGTCCCACGACAAGCACCAAAGGCCCCGCATGCACATTACTCCAACACACACACGCCAGACATGCCACGTGGCCACGACACGGCCACCGCGAGACCACAAACACGTGTGGCCACACACGCACACTCAGACCCAAAGGCCAACTGGTTGAGGGGCTGGTCGGGATGAGGTGGGCCCTGGGAGCTGAAGTCACCGCGGGGCCCACTGCTCCTGCCACCATCTGTCCGGCTGACTGTCCCCCCGCCGCGCGGGAAATGGGCTCGGGCTCAGGCCTACTTCCGCCCCCAGCCACCTTCGGGCCCACTGGGTGCCAGGGTCCCTCGCACGGAGGTCTTTGTTGTCCTCTCTGCCTGCCTCTAGCTCCAAAGATCTGTTTCCGAGGGGCTGCGTTTCTTGTCTCTGTCTCTCTCCGTCCCTGGGTATCTCTGGCTCTCCACGTCTCTCTCTCTCTGTCTCCGTCTCCTCACCCCCCCATCACCCCGGCCCCCTGGGCTGGGGTTTAACCAGTTGTTTTGATTTCTCTAAGCTGCTCCGGCCGCCTCGGGAGCCGCCTCGGGCCTCGGGCCTCACCCCCCCCCACAGCCCCTTCATCCCTCACCCAGTACCCCCTCCCCTTAACACAATCTGCACAAGTGGAATGAAAATTGATTTTTTTTTTAAATTTCATATCTTCTCCAGGGCTCTGTCTAAAGAGGAGAGAGACGTGGCCCAAGACCCTTCTCCTGCCGCCCCCCCCCCCCCCGCACGCACACACACACACACACATCATGCCTGGACACACTCTGACACTCCGTCTGCCCCCACCCTGGGGACACACCCCTCCCTACGCCACAGCCCCGCGTAGGACACAGCTGTGCACACAGCAGACACACAACAGACTCCTGCACACCCGCTCCAGACGCCCCCCAGGAGGCACATGTCACACGCCCCGTCCCATCTGGGCACACAGGGCACGGCGGCCTGCTGACACACTGTAGTGTGCATGTCCTCACACTCACACGGCCACGTCCATGTGCACACAGGCTCGAGGGCGG